TAATATAATATAACATAACAGAATATATAGTCTTTGTGACTGACTTCTTTTACTTAGCATAATACTTAAATACTTAAAAAGTTCATCTGAATCATGTATCATTAATTCACTAATTTTAATAGAAAATTAATATTCCATTGGATATTCCACATTTTATCTATTTATCATTTGATAGACATTTGCATTGTTTCCACTTTTTGACTATTAGGAATAGTGCTTCTGTGAACACTCACGTACAAGTTCTGTGTGGACAGCTGTTTTCATTCCTCTTGGGTATGTACCAGGAATGGAATTGCAAAGTCAATTGTGACCCTGGAGTTAACTTTTTAAGGAATTGCCAAATATTTTTGAAAGCGACTGCACCATTTTACATTCCCATCAGGAATGTATGAGGGTTCCAGTGTCTCCGCACCCTTTTCAATACTTCTTGCTATCTCTGTGTTTGTAGCCTTCCTAGCGAGTGTGAAATGGTAGCTTTGAGTTGCACTTTTCTCATGGTAAAGGTGTTGAATAGCTTTTCAGATACTTATTGGCTGTTCTTTTTCGGAGAAATGTCTATTCAGATCCCTTACTCTTTTTTTTTTGTTAATAGTATCAACAATATAACATTTTAATTTGAATTCAATAAAACATTCAGGAATCGTACAATAAAAACTAAAATCATTGCTAAGGAAAAAAAGAAAAATTTAATTAAAAGAAAGGTATATGATGTTGATGAATTGGAGATTGTAGATAGTGAAGCTATAAATTCTCCCAGTTATGCTCTATATGTTTATACACCACAAACAAAATTCCAGAAAGATTTTTTTAATAGAAATTAACAAACTGATCCTAAAGTTTATATTAAACTACAAAGGATCTAAAATGGCAAAAACAATTCTAAAATAAAAGATCAAGGTTAAGAGAATTTACATTATATGATTTGAAGATTTACTGTTAAGTACAGTAAGAAAGATACTGTGGTTTTGGCTTAAAGACAAGCTAGGTCGACTCAACAGAAGAAAATAGACATGTGCATAGACAAATGCATGATTTTTACTAATATTTCCATGAGAAATTTAGTGGAATTTATTAGAGAAAGAATAGTTTAAAACAATGTTTAAAGAAATGTACATTCATAAACAAAGGAAAAGAACATTGACTCTTACATTATACCATACACAAATTTTAACTATAAATAGATCATAGTCCAACACAAAGGATAAAGTATAAAACATTATAGGAAACATAAGGGAACACAGGAGAAAAATCTTCATTTCCTTAGGATAGGCAAATATCTTATAGGTTAAAAAAGAATAAATTGATTAGTCTCCATAAAAATTAAATAATTCTGTTCTAGAAGAGACACGTTCAAAAAATAAGAGGACAAGCCACCAATGGAAGAAAATATTTGCAATAAATGTATCTAATTAATGACTACATACAGAATATGTAAGTATCATTTAAAACCCCATTATCATCAACCCAGTAAAAATGAACAAAATATTTTAACAGACACTTTGCAAAATGAGGTATGAGAATTGTCAAAAAGCACATGAAAGATGTCCAATGTCAGTCATCAGAGAAGGTACCATTTAACACCTGAATGAAAAACTTCTATACGCATTTTACAATGTCTAAAATAAATTGACTGGCAAAACCCAAGTGCTGTCAAAAAACTCTCTTACATTGCTGTTTATCCCTTACTCATTTTAAAATTGAGTTACTTGATCTTTTTATTATTGATTTGTAATGGTTCTTTATGTATTCTAGATATATGTCTCTTATCAGATACATGATTTGCAAATATTTTCTCCTAGTTCTCTCTTTTTAAGTAAGTAAGGGAAGGAAAACTAAAATGTATTAAGGGAACTGTTGTGATCAGCATTATACTTAGGGCTGTTAGAAATGCTAAAGTATAGAAATGATTTCTATCTTTTAGGACATTGGTTTCTTTGGAGATCCAAGACTTATGTGATGTAATTGGAAAACAACATAGAATATGTTAAATAGTATACAATCTTGATCAAAAATAGTATGAAAAAAAGTATGAAAAATAAATGCCCTGGGGGGCACCTGGATGGCTCAGTTGGTTAAGCATTTGACTTTGGCTCAGGTCATGATCTGAGTTCGTGAGTTCAAGGCCTGCCTTGGGTTCTGTGCTGACCGTTCAGAGCCTGGAGCCTGCTTCAGACTCTGTGTCTCCCTCTCTCTCTGCCCCTCCCCACTCATGCTCTGTCTCTCTCTCTCTGTCTCTCAAATATAAATAAACATTAAAAATTTTTTAAAAAAGTAAATGCCTTGGAATTCCAAGGAACCAAGGTCGAAAGTAATTGATTTAAATCATTTATTTTGAGTAGAATGTTAACTATTCAAAATAACTTTTAAAAAAGAATATTTCTTTTTGATTCATTTCTTTTTTTAAAAAAATTTGGAGTTTATTTAAGAGACAGAGAAGGTGAGTGGGGGAGGGGCAAGGAGAGAGTGGAGAGAGAATTCCAAGCATGTACTGTGAGATCATGACCTGAACTGAAACCAAAAGTTGGATCCTTAGCTGACTGAGCCACCGAGGCTCCTGATTCAGTTACTATGGACTTTAGCATATATGCTGTATCGTGTGTACTTTGTCATTCTTTCCTACTGGACTGTAGATACCGTCTTTGTTTATCCATGTGATCCTAATACTTGGCATAGTGCCTGATATGAGGCACACGTCCAATAAATATTTGTTGAATGAGCAAAAATTAGTATGTGCTGGAGCTCTCAGAGAGTGTAGCACTAATTAAGCACTTTTACAGAGTTGTCACAAGGTGGAAAATGTTAGGGTGGAAGAGCAACAGGTGGAGGGAAGCCCTGGGTGCCTTCACAGCTCCTGTCATTAACCAGCTCTGTAGTCCTGGTGTTGCTGACCAGCAACATAGATCCTTGTTCTGAAGTGAGGAGAATGCATTGGCTCTTTTCCTTTTTAACATTCTGAGTTTCATGAGCAGCATAAACCTAAAACATTTAGAACCAGCTGAAAATTTTCTAAGAGTTGAATGCATGATTAAGGTTTTGTGCTAAAATACCACAGACATTAATTAGTATCTGCCATTTGTGTAAAATTATGTTAAAAAATGATATTTCTAATATTGGATGTACTAAGAAGATATTTACAAGGCAGTATCTTAAGGGTTATCATTAGTAGAATGTTGGGATTAATTTATCAATTTATTTATATCCAACCCACTTTCTTCCAAAGAAGATTTGAGGTGGCCATTCAAGCTAGTATCTTTTTCCTTAAGGCAAAAGGTTCTTAGGTGCTATTAAAATACATTTTATTTGTTATTTTTATCCTCCAAAAATACCCTCAAAATTTTGGTGTTTCAGAGGTTATAATTTTTTTTCAGAGGCCATAAAGTTTTTAAACAGGATTAGGAAAGGAGAAATGTTTCAGTAATGCTACTTTCATGTAAAAAAATTTTTTTTTAATTTTAAGTAGGCTCTACATCCAATGTGGGGCTTGAACTTAGAACCCCAAGATCAAGAGTCACATGCTGTACCCACTGAGCCAGCCAGGTCCCCCAGTAATGCTATTTTAACATGAAGCTCTAAAATTAATGGCTTTTGAACAATAAAAAGAATGACTCTCCAGTATATAGTATTCTAGTTGAATTGAAATCTCTCCAACGCTGTGCATTTTCTGAAAAAATTTTTAACGTTTATTCATTTTTGAGAGACAGAGGCAGAGCACGAGCAGAGTAGGGGCAGAGAGAGACACACACACACAGAATCTGAAGTAAGCTCCAGGCTCCGAGCTGTCAGCACAGAGCCCGACGCAGGGCTCGAACCCACAAACCGCGAGATCATGACCTGAGTCAAAATTGGATGCTTAATCAACTGAGCCACCCAGGCGCCCCACCAATGTTCTGCATTTTAACATACGGGGTCTTTAATGGGAGGCATGGTGGGAAAATCTATGGTATTTAGGGATTAAATCAAGTATCCTAAATTGCTAAGGGGAGCAAGACATAAGCTCTTGTGGAATTAACTGTACTCTTGATGAAGAAAGATGCAGTGGTCTGACAGGAAAAGCATTTCCTCTGGCTGGGGGATGAGATACTCTTTGATAGCTCCACTAGAAAACATGGTCTGTTAGAATAAAGAGAGAAGATTTTGTGAAAATGCTAATTCTCTGTTAGACCATTTTGTTGAGGTTGGGGAAGGACCATCATGAGCTAGAAATCCCTTCATGTGGACTTAATGATAAATAAGCCAGTGACATTTTGGTTCAAGTAAATGTTTTTTCTTTGTAAAATCATGAGTCTTGAGTCAATGTCATGCTTGGATTTCACACATTTCACGTATCCCTAACAGAGACTCCAATCCATTCAACACTGAAAACTCTCATTTCTTTAGAGATGCTTGACTAAGCTCCATAGAAGTCTAAACATAATTGTGACCCATAAATCTAACCAGTCTTTGGCTGTGGCATCTAAAATTTTAAAAATATTGTTTTTCTCTCTTTTTATTAAGTGTTAGGTCCTAAGGTAATTTTATACAAATGTATAGCAAACAAAGGTATGACAAGTCTGAATAATTCATTCAACATTTATATGTTTGTATATTAAAATCATGTAAATTAAAGCTTATGTACTTTATATTTACAGTTGATAAATGAACTTTACTGAAACATATCTGTTTTCTAGGTTTAGAATTTTATGGCAAGCAACCCCTCCCTAGCCCCAGTAACTTATTTAAAAGCTTAAAAACTTTTGTTAAAATACTCTTTATTAAGTACTGAATGTTTCCTAAGGAACTCAGTGTATTTCCATGTGAGTAATCTGATTTAACTAAGAAATATATCTGAACTACAGTGTCCTTTATTGGTCATAAAGATTTGTATTAATATTTTATTTTAAGAGCTCCATTAGTAGCCTAAATAATAGTTTGGTTCACTGATAAAGCCAAATGTTTTTTAAAGTAAAAGTATTTGGTGGGAGAGAAGTTAATACACTAACTTTCAAAAATTTGTTATGCAGGATTAGCTGAACCATCCTGTGTTGCAAAACATGAAGATAGTTTGTTTAAGGATTTATTTCAAGACTACGAAAGATGGGTTCGTCCTGTGGAATACCTGAAAGACAAAATAAAAATAAAGTTTGGCCTTGCAATATCTCAATTAGTGGATGTGGTAGGTGTGCATATCATTACACACTCAATTTCATCAGGCTTCCTGAGAGCATTGTGGGTGTCCCAGCGCTGTGTTGGGAGGCCTGGCTTACAAAGGAAAATGAGACATAGTCATTTTCCTAAAGGAACTCAGCAGGGAAAGATAGTTATTACTCAATAGACATAGGAATACACTTTTTATATAACACTGTGTAGTTTAGAAATCTTTGGTAATAGGTCGATTAAAAACATTAAAAAAATATTTATGTATTTTTGAGAAAGAGTGTCCATGCATGCCCACACAAGTGGGGGAGGGGCAGAGAGAGAGGGAGACACAGAATCCCAAGCAGGCTCTGCACTGTCAGCTCAAAGCCTGATGTGGGGCTCAAACCCATGAACCATTAGATCATGAACTGAGCTGAAGTAGGCCATCAACCGACTGGGCCATCCAGGTGCCTCAAATAATGTCTATTTTTAATAAGCTCAAAGATATTAAACATTTTATATGGAAGTTTCTTCTTAAATTTGTTTAAAGATATGTTAAAAATCAACATGTTAAAGAGAAAAAGTTCAAGAGTAGAGTTGTAGATTTTTAGGACCAAAAAGCATCTCAGCAGATCATTGTTTCAATATCACACTTAAACTGTACCAGAGATTTTCCCCTATGACGTCCACCAGGGAGTATTGTTTCCCTTGTAACTTGTTCTGACTGTCAAGAGATCCTTTCTATTCAAACTAAAAAGTTAATGCTGATATTTAAGTTAGTTTCTTCTTGTTCTGATTATGTCAATCAATAGTTATTTCCCTGCTGTGTTCCCAAAACAGAGAGAGAGAGTGTGTGTGTGTGTGTGTGTGTGTGAGAGAGAGAGAGAGAGGGAGAGAGAGGTTGTACAATAACATTTTAGGCATGCCTTTATTTTCTAACTTGAGAAGCAATGCATAATTTTTGCAGAGAATTTGGAAAGTGCAAACAAATACAAATAAGGAAATAAAAATCGACTATAATTCTACCACCCAGAGACGACCAGTGAACATTCTGCTGCTTTTCTTGCCAGTTTTTTCTTTGCATGTATACTTTAAAATTGGAATACTAATTTAGACGTAATTAAGAATTTTTTCCCTTTGGTTTTTTTCCCCCAAATTAAAAAATTTTAATTCCAGTTTGTTAACATACAGTGTTAGTTCAGGTGTACAACATATAGTGATTTCACACTTCTATGTATTACTCAGTGCTCATTTTCCCTCCTGTCTGTTGTTATAGGAAGAACATTTCCCTATATCATTATGTAATCTTCAAATATACTTTTAATGGCTATATGATTTTCCATTTATAATTTATTTAAATATTCTCTTGGCAGAAGTTAATTCCCAATATTTCCTAATATAAATGACAATCATGAGTATATTTGTACACAAATATCTAAATTTCTCCTTTTTTTTCTCATGTTTATTTTTGAGAGAGAGATCAACAGAGCACAAACAGGGGAGGGCCAGGGAGAGAGGGAGACACAGAAGCTGAAGCAGCTCCAGGCTCTGAGCTGTCAGCACAGAGCCCGACACGGGGCTCGAACCCACGAACCGTGAGTTCATGACCTGAGCTGAAGTCAGATGGTTAACCGACTGAGCCACCCAAGTGCCCTCTCCTTTTTTTGTTTTTAAAGTAAGCTTCATGCCCATGAGGATTGGAGTCACCTGCTCTAACCAAGGAGCCAGCCAGGCGCCCCAAAGGATATACACTTTTAAAAGTCTAGTGTGTTAATGATATGACCTTAATTGCCTCCAGAAAGATCAGTGAATATGGACTGTGTTGTGTCCTTTGCCCTCTGCTAGGAGATTTTCAATATAAGTACAAATAGGGAAGTAGTGAGATGAGTGGGGCTTGGTCTCAAAGACCTGTCTTTCTAGTCGGGACCATCAGCAAGTGAGTGTAGTGACTATAGGACATTGCAGTCCTAAACTGTGATACCACAAAAATTTGGGGACTCAGATCTTGATTATTTAGGTCATTAAAGAATGCAGGCAGAGGCCCTCCAGCTGGCCTTGTCGGGACTCAGACACACGGAGAGGAGAGTAGCAAGGAGCAGTACGATCTAGGCTGAAGAGCCTTTCTGTTCAGCTGTTCAGATCAAAAGGTCCCTGTTGGAGGCCACTCCCCGGGATGGTCTGATGGGCGGTGGAGGGGCCTGCACTGTGCTGTCTCTCCTGCCATTTTTCAATTGGAGAGTTTTACTTCTTGGAAAAAGTCACTTATCTTTCAAGGCCAAATTTATTTGTCTGACGCTTTGTGACATCTTTCCAGAGTTCCTAACACAGTCTCCCCTGTTCACGCAGCCCTTTGCACCGCTGGCACCTGTGTGCTCCAGCGTGGCACCCTCAGAGCGGCCATGCTTCATCCCTCGCGTCTGTCCCAGGCGTGGTGCCTGGCACAGGGCAGGTGCTGAGTGAATGACAGATGTGACAGGCAACAGATGTGGTCAAAGCAGTGCTTTAGGAAGAGCCGTAGGACAGTCAAATGCATGTTTTGAGAAGTACAAGAGATGAGGAGCTTCGGAGGCGAGTCCGAAGACCAGGCAGAAGCTGGAGCAGGATGTGACCACTGAACATGGAGGGAGGTGTCCGGTTTTGAAGCCTGAGTAGTTGGAACGGGAGGGTGATGGATCTGGAAGATGCGCTCACTTGCTGAGGAGATGATGCTCCGCTGTGATGGCGGGTGATTGTGCTACATTCCTGAGGCCCTGGGAAAGTCCGTGCCGGCTCTGCGGGCAGAGAGGAGGCTGTCAGTGTGGAGACCCTGACCCAGGGCTGAGTATTGAAAACATTGGACGGAAGAGTTTTAAAGCGAGCAGGGAAAGCAGGCAAGTTTATCTCTGAGGAACATTCATAGAAGGTGGTGGAAGGAAGGGTGAGCCCAGCAGAGAAGTCGGGGACGGGCTGCTTCCTGTGAGAAGAGCCCAGAACATGTAAGGTCAGTGACCATGAGAGAAAAAGAGGACAAGCGTGGAGGGAGAGGAGCCAAGGGCCCTGGACCTTGAGAATCGAGGCTTTATGTCCCTTTAACCGCTAAGCTCTTTCCCCCCAGGCTTGTAGTCATGTGTGGTGGCTCCTCCTCAAAGTTCGCTCAGTTTCCTGCTTTATTTCCTACGTGTTCGAGCTCTCTCTCGCTCTCAAATTTCCACGTTGGCTTGCTTGTTAGATGCTGGTTTTATGGTCAGGTTAAGAAACTCTTACCCCTAACACTTTTCTGCTCTACTTCCGCGCGGGCACGTCTCTGTTCGTGTGCCTCGCCCTCCTGGGTGCAGCCTTGCGCTTGGCCTTCCTCCTAGGTTTTGTTTCGTTTCCTTGCATCCTGCATTGTGCTGAGCACATTAAAGGTGCTTGGGAGGTCCCTGGGTGACCTTACGTTAGGCTGTATCCCCTAAGGCAGTGGCTAACTCCCACATCTGGGGCCAGTGGTGAACTTAGGTACTGTTCTTGTATCTGTGTTCCTGTTGAGGATACTGGGTATTGACTAGGTCCTAGTCCATAGTGCACAATTTATGTGTGTTCACATTTTTCTGGGGGAAGAGGTCTATGATTTTCATTAGCTTCTCAAAGATGTCCTATTACCTTACAGTGTCACAGGTGGTAAGTATACCAGAACTTTCCTAACTGTTAAAGCCTCTGTTTAGAACTCAGGCCTACTGGGAATATTCTGATGCAGAGAGCAGCTTTCTCTGGATGGTGTGTGCCTTTGGGGTAGACAGTAGGACTGGTGGCACGGAGCGTAAACTCAGGAGCTTTGAGTTCTGACATCAGTTCTGCCACCAATTGTGGTGTGATTTTAGGCAAGTTGCCTCATTGGTCTAGTTTCTATAATTGCAGAATGAATGGTTTGCAGCGGGTGAAATCTATAGATCCTTTTCAGCTCCAGTGTTTTACTCCAGGACAATTGCCCTTCGGAACCACAGTGTAAGAGTGATGGCCATGCAGTATTTCCTAGTAATTGTTCCCATGTAGGGACATCACAGATGTCTTTGTCTCAAGGGAGGTGCTTCCTTCTGCCTCCCTCCTTTCTCTTAGACCACTCATGTATTTTGGAATGAGCCATTTAACCCTCTGTCCCCTCTCCCCGGCTGTGGGGATTGCCTCAGCCTTCTGTGGGCCTGTCCTGCCCACGGTGTACTTGTGCTTGGTCGTCACGATGATGTACTGGTCCAGTAGGCTCCATGATACTTCAGTAAAATGTCCTGGAAGAGATGTCTCTTTAATTAGGCCTTGAGAATTCAGTGAAAAACTGGTCTTAGCAAAGATATAATGGCAGGAAGGTGTAAGTAGCAAATATCAAAGACCCCAGCTTTCTAGAAAAGCAGGCTGTGAAAGCTTATGAAGCTGCCACTCAGGACAGTGACCCCAGTATTCTTTTCCTACATAGCCGCCCCTCAGAGAGTCACGTCTGTGCCTCAGCGGAGAACGGAACTACCAGTTACAGCCCTGCAGGAAGGCACAGAGACCGCGCATCTCATTCTAATGTGCGCACTTCTCCACACTTCAGCACTTCTGAAATCAAGATGTGTATTATAATTAGTGGCAACTTAAAATTCATTGTCAGCCTTTTCCTTTCTTAGTGCTAAGTACATAAACTAATGTATGTGCTTGTTTCTTAGATTGTGTCTTAGACTTGAGGATGTAGAGTAGTGGAGTGTGTGAATGTTAAATCTAACGCCAGTGGTGTGCTGCAGGGCAGTTTAGCTGAAATTCAGAGCATCTGGAAAGGGGTAATGTGAGATTAGGCTGGAAAAATGATACTGCATTTCCAGAGAGCTGCATCAATGAGCAGGATGTAGGTACTATATGAACAGGAATGTTTGTATAAAACTGTGAAAATTCTTATTTATAGAAATGTTGTTTCTGTACTTGAAATAATCTGCATTATTTAAATTTTTGTTTTATAGGATGAGAAAAATCAGTTAATGACAACGAACGTCTGGCTGAAACAGGTGTGTATAAAACTCAGAAGGGCACCTGGCTGGCCACTGGTGCCCCAGGGCTAGCAGCACAGAGAGGCACGAGTGTGTGGTCTCGGTGGGTCGGCAGGGTGGAGAAGGGTGAGGGCAGATGCGGTCCTCGTGTTCGTTCAGGCAGCACCGGGCGGCTGCTGTCCAGCAGACACTGTTCTGGGCAACTGGGGAAACAGCAGTCAACAAAATGGACAGAAGTCCTGCTGTCAAGAACTTCGTTCGAGTCAGGGGAGAGAAATAAGTAAGCTGTTACAGTATCTCGGAAGTGGACAAGCTTGGAGAAAAACACATTGGGAATGAGGATACGGGACGGGTGGGGAATGTACTTTTAAATAGGGAGCTTGGGGAAAGTGCTGCTCAGAGGGTCATGTTTGAGCAAGACCTGAAGGAGAAGAAAGAAGCCTTGTGAATATCTAGCGGAGAAGTGATCCAGACAGAGAGGGATGTATAAGTGCAAAGGCCTGAGGCCGGAGAGCACCTGGTGTGTTTAAGGAGGAGCAAACAGGCTGATGTGGGTAGAGGTGAGTAGGGGTGTGTAGATGAGGTCACAGAAGCAGTGGGAAGCCAGTGGTGTAGCCAGCATCTAGGCCATTGTGAGGATTGTGGTGTTTACTTGGAGCTGTCTGGGAATGGGTGATGAATTATTTTTACATACGTAGCTCCTTTTTATTTTTTAATTAAAAAAATTTTTTTATTTATTTCTGAGAGAGAGAGACAGACAGAGAGAGAGCCGGGGAGGGTCAGAGAGAGAGGGAGACACAGAATCCGAAGCAGGCTCCAGGCTCCAAGCTGTCAGCACAGAGCCCGACGCGGGGCTCGAACCCGTGAACCATGAGATCATGACCTGAGCCAAAGTCAGACACTGTACCGACTGAGCCACCCAGGTGCTCCCGTAGCTCCTTTTTAGAAAGGACTGCTTTTTCTTCAAGGCCATCATACCTATGTCTTCAGCTGCTGTTGTGTGCTTCCCTTTGCTCTTTATGACCCTTATTTTGATACCACTACCCGTCCCCTGAGCCTAGCCCTGCAAGGCCTGTATCCTTTTGTTGGGGTGCAAGTCTTAACTTGACATGATCACAGAATTGTCTCCATGTGGAGCTTGGACAAGGTGTTTACATGTGGAACGTGTAATAAATCCAATTCCCCTGCATGCACTAGTCCAGCCAGTTACAATGCAGCTGGAAAAGAGAATGTCTGCCTTAAACCCGGACCTTAGATGCCCATGGCTGTGGCTCCTGGGCATGGCCAGTTGGTGGGACAGGAGGTGCCCAGCAGCGCTGTGAACACCCCCAGCCACAGGTCTGCATCTGTGTCAGGAGGACCAGGGCCGGAGCCACCGCACAGGGCGCAGGGCTGTGCTTCTCTAACTCTTAAGAAGGACTTGGAGGTGAATTTTCTCTATGCCGAGTAGAGATGATTTTATGTCTAGAATTTCTGGACTTGCCATAAAGAGTATAGTTTTCACAACTCTTGACTATTGATTTATTGAAACTGATGCCATTGTCTTTGCAGGAGTGGATAGATGTAAAGTTAAGATGGCGCCCTGGCGACTATGGTGGAATAAAAATTATACGTGTCCCTTCAGACTCTCTCTGGACCCCAGACATTGTTTTGTTTGATAAGTAAGTCACACTCCTAAATATTACTTTATGTTTTTTTAAAAAATGCTTGTATATTAAGCACTAGTAATTTTTCTTCCTTCCAAAAATTGTTTACCTTTAAAATCAGAAGACTTGATCTTGTGTTCTGTTGTGAACCTCCAAATATGTTCTCTGGGTCCTCTCCTTTTTTTGGTGTATTGTTTCCTGATCATAAAAGTGTTCTTTGATTTCTAAAACATGTAAAACATTTGAGAAGTCCAGAAAGGTGTAAGGAAATTGGGGGGGTGTCCCCTATAATCAGTCCCATTATTCTAGCATTAGAGGCAGGTGTGCGCATGAGCTCACGCATAGAACTTACTCTGTGCCTAGCTGTGTGCGCGGTGCCTTTCTGCTTTATTTGATTCCCAACACTACTGTTAAAATGGCATTTCTGACAGGTGAGGGCATTATAACCTTGTCCAAGGTCACACAGTTTGCATGTGGCAGGGTGGGGTTCACATCACATCCCTATTTATCCTTCTATTTAATAGACTATATATTTGGCAGTTTGCCTTCAAGATTTTTGGGTGTTTAAAAAATAGTCGAAGTCATACTTAATGTTCAAATGTGCATCCTTCAATTTTGCTTAAATACTATATTATAATTATCCCATGATGGGGAATGTTGAGTGAACTCATCTTTATAGGCACCCTACCTAGATGTATTTTGAGGATGGTTTTTAACTCGGTGAAAGGATAATTCTGGGTATGAGTTTCATTTTTTTCTAGGACCACTCCGGGGCAAATCCTGGGAATTTGTACTTATCCTAAAGCACTTTGTATTATCTGCAGTCAAGCATTTGGCATGAAGACAGAGCAAATGCTATGTGAAAAATGTTACTCTTTAAACACTTTTCCCTCCGTGTTTCTTAATAGGCAAAGAGGGAACAAAGTTATAAGGTAGTAGGATACAGCTTCCCAGAGTACCATTTTACTCTAGGTCACAGTAAACATTTTTTTAAAGTTTATTTATTTATATTGAGAAAGAGCACACACATGTGAGTGGGGCAGGGGCGGAGAAAGAATCCCAAGCAGGCTTTGCACTGTCAATGCAGAGCCTGATGCAGGGCTTGAACTCACACATTGGGAGATCCTGACCTGAGCTGAAATCAAGAGCCCAACACTTAACTGACTGAACCACCCAGGCGCCCCAGTCTCTGAAAAACATTTTTAATAAACATGAATGTATAAGAGTAGTGTGCAAAAGTCACACGAGTTTTAAGATAAAAGACAGTATTTCAAAGAAATCCTATGTTCCTGCCAGACTTCTCCAGTATAGGAGCTCACCTGGTAGCAGAACTTGAGAGGCACAACTTAGAGCTCATGTTCTTTCCTGCCCCCGTAGTAAGTGTCCAGTATTTGTGATGGAGGCGAAGAGCATGTGTGGAGAGCCTAGACCTGTGGATTCAGGTTCTGGCTAATATTTTATTGTTGCAATAGCCTAATTATATTTTGTGTGTAAAGGGAAATCTTTCAGCATCAAAAATCTCAGGATTTTGTGAAATAGAGATCAACTGTCAGTCCTGGAGTAGATGTGGAAGGAGTTCAGTTCTAGTACAGTCAGATATTTACACAAGATGTCCTTAAAACAGAGCCCCCTACCTGAGCAGGTATATCTCAAGCATAATAATTTAAAAAGTATCTCATGCCATGGTGTCAGCTTTCTTTCATATCAGGCTCATGAAGGCCTGTGTTGTGTAGTCTCTGCATTGTTATGTGCGTGTATTTATTTTAGTGCAGATGGACGTTTTGAAGGGGCCAGCACGAAAGCAGTCGTCAGGTATGATGGCACTGTCACCTGGACTCCACCCGCAAACTACAAAAGTTCCTGCACCATAGATGTCACGTTTTTCCCATTCGATCTCCAAAACTGCTCCATGAAATTTGGTTCTTGGACTTACGATGGATCACAGGTTGATATAATTTTAGAGGACCAGAATGTGGACAAGAGAGATTTTTTTGACAATGGAGAATGGGAGATTGTGAGTGCAACGGGAAGCAAAGGAAACAGAACAGATGGCTCCTGCTGGTACCCTTATGTCACCTACTCATTTGTAATTAAGCGTCTGCCTCTGTTTTACACCTTGTTCCTTATTATACCCTGTATTGGGCTCTCATTTTTAACTGTGCTTGTCTTCTATCTCCCCTCAAACGAAGGTGAGAAGCTCAGTCTCTGCACGTCAGTCCTGGTCTCTCTGACTGTCTTCCTTCTGGTTATTGAAGAGATCATACCCTCGTCTTCCAAAGTAATACCTCTGATTGGAGAGTATCTGGTGTTCACCATGATTTTTGTGACGCTGTCAATCATGGTGACTGTCTTCGCTATCAACATCCATCATCGTTCTTCCTCAACACACGATGCAATGGCACCTTGGGTCCGCAAGATATTTCTCCACAAGCTTCCCAAACTGCTGTGCATGAGAAGTCACGTAGATAGGTATTTCGCTCAGAGGGAGGGAACTGAGGGCGGTAGTAGACCAGAGTCTTCTAGAAACACCTTGGAAGCTGCGCTTGATTCCATCCGCTACATTACAAGACACGTCATGAAGGAGAATGACGTCCGTGAGGTCTGTGACACGTGTTTACAAAATGCTCGTCTGCTTCCATTCTCAAGACTAAGTGGAGATTGAGGGCCAGAAATGCTGACACGCTGTTCAGTAGATCTTTACCAAAATTTCAGTTAAAACATCTGCCAAATGGGCATCTATGTAGATCTCACCTCTCCATTCCCCTTTAGCAATTTCATCTTGTGCCAACTGTTATTACTCTAAAGAGTAATAATACTGCCATTTGTTTTTTTGCCTCTGATGTGATTGTTTTAATTCTATCTTCTGTGACTTTGTTTCTGAATTCTGTGGTAATCTGTAGGCACAACTGGCATTATAATTTATCAAAAGCTATTTTGTTTTTTAAAGAATGAGCCTAATGTAGGCTCTATAAATACAGCCAAGATATTTTTTCTAGAATATGTCTTTTTCTTGTCCATTTACAAGAGAATGCTAGTGAAATTGAAAGCAGTAAGATATTCTTGGGTGTTGTATATGTCACAATGTTCATGTGAAAGTTAGAAATAGTGCTTAGTAATATGCTTAATTTGCTTAAAACCAAAAATTTGCTTAAAACTTTATTATAGAAAAATAACTCTCATTGGCTTATTTAAGGCTCATTTTTAAAATGTAAGAATTGAACATGAATACATTTTACTAATGTGATGTTAGATTTTCTTTCAAAGTGTCAAATTTTAATCTTGTCACTATTCTTTATTTCTATTGCATAATATTTTTATTAAAACATTTTTTAAATGTTTATTTTTGAGAGGGGGAGGGACAGAGAGAGAAGGAATCAGACGATCTGAAGTGGGCTCTGAGCTGTCAGCACAGAGCCTGATGTGGGGCTTGAACCCATGAACCATGAAGTCATGACCTGAGCTGAAGTCTACACTTAACCCACTGAGCCACTCAGGCACCCCTTACTGTGTGATATTTTTAAAACTAAGACTGTAGTAGTATTTTCATAATTGAATTTACTTTGAGTAGTCCCCATTATATTATATGAATTCCCATTTCTAAACTTTTTTTTTTTGTGGAAAAATTTCTAGCAGATGTGGGAAGCCGACAAAGTAAATCTGATAAAACTATAGTCCTCACAGAAGGAACATATAACATAGATTTCTGAAAAAACTTAAATGCTTGTGGATTTGTAAAATGTCTATTTCATGGTAGTAGGATTAGTTTATGAGGTCTGAAGCTATCAATGGAGTCTTAAAAATATAGATATCAGTGGGGCGCCTGGGTGGCTTAGTCGGTTAAGTGTCCGACTTTTGCTTAGGTCATGATCTTGCGGTTGGTGGGTTCGAGCCTCACGTTGGGCTCTGTGCTGACTGCCAGCTCAGAGCCTGGAGCCTATTTCAGAGTCTGTATCTCCCTCTCTCTCTGACCCTCCCCTGCTCACACTGTCTCTCTCTCTCTCCTAGAAATAAATAAAAATATAAAAAAAATATATAGATATTAGTTAAATAATGATCTGGATTAATGTCTGGATTAATAAATGTCTGCAAAGTATTGTGCAAAAGGGCCAGGGCCCATCCCCCTGGGACCAGTAAATGGTATTTATTTTCAGGCGGGAACTTAGAAAAGCAGTAGAGTGTTTATAGCTACCTAAAGTCCACATTATCTTACAGCTGAGGGGGCAGAGTTTTTGTGGGGGACCTCGTGCTCCCTAAAGGCAAGGGCCAGGGAAGGCCCTGTGAGGGAAGCCTCTGGTGCTCAGGGGCCTGTCTCACTTTGAGGTCACTTGTAGATGCTGAGCTAGCTCCTTGCTTAGGCTGCAAAATGGGGGTTGAAATGAGGTCCAGCCAGCAGATCTGAATTCATGAACTTAGATTAAAATGGCCCCCGGGGAATCCAAAACTAAATAGTGCACATTGTGGGGTGGAAAGAAGATAACGGCTAATACATATTATTCTTTTTTTCTTTTTATTTATTTTGGAAAAGAGAGAGAGAATCCCAAGCAGGCTATCCCCTGTCAGATCTCATGAACCGTGAGATCATGACCTGAGCCAAAGTGAAGGGTCGGACGCTTAACTGAATGAATTACCCAGGCACCCTCTAATCTGTGTTATTCTGAACCAGTTGTTAATTTGGCCTGAGATTAACCTCAGGCTGGATTCTCTTTAAAAATTAAAATAAGTAAGCACTGCTGGACAAGAAAAAGTACAGAAAAAACTATGTTATATGAATAAAAGAGATTTTTTTAGTTTATTATAAAATACCCAAGTAGTATAAATTCTAATTTTATTAAAAGTATGTCCAAAATGTCACTTGTAGGGGCACCTGGGTGGCTCAGTCAGGTAAGCGTCCGACTTCGGCTCAGGTCATGGTCTCATGGTTCGTGGGTTCAAGCCCTGTGTCGGGCTCTGTGCTAACAGCCAGCTCAGAGCCTGGAGCCTGTTTCGAATTCTGTGTCTCCCTATCTCTCTGCCCCTTTCCTGCTCACGCTGTCTGTGTCTCTCTCTCTCTCTCTCTCTCAGAAATAAATAAAAAACATTTTTAAAAATGTCACTTATAATATATTAAAAATCAAGAAGTACATTAATCAACTGTGCAGTGTCTCTCAAAGCTTGTGGACGCTCTGTTCTAGATTGTCAGGAGAGTGTCTGTCTCTGAGCTCTGAGTACAAGGTCACCTACCGTTGTGAGGCAGCAACGGGAGGCAGAAAGTGATCTGGCCTCTGACTCGGTGTGTAATATCTTAATTACACAATTTTAATTTAAGTATTTAATATGTTTTTTTTTTTTTTTTTGCAACAGGTGGTTGAAGATTGGAAATTCATAGCGCAGGTGCTTGATCGGATGTTTCTATGGACTTTTCTTCTGGTTTCCATTGTTGGATCTCTTGGGCTTTTTGTTCCTGTTATTTATAAGTGGGCGAATATAATAGTACCGGTTCATATTGGAGATGCAAATAAGTGATCCTTCTTCCATAGTAGTGTCATAGTAGGAATTTAGTAGGGCCATAGTAGAAATTTAGTTACCAAAGGCACATATGTCTTTGGCATCTATAAAATTAGAAAATGTAAATTGCGTTTAAAATCTGAAGCAAGCTTTACCAGATTAACAGTTATTGGTTTATCTTAATAGATTGCCCATGAGAACATTTTACCTGCATGACTGAAGTAATAACTCAACATTTGATCTGAAAATAGCAAAATATTATCTGAACCGTACTAGTGAGAGCCTAATGTTGGTATCCTGGCAAACAGTACCAGTTTGTAATCAACGGTGAAGCTCGTCTTTTGATTGTGCTGGAAAATTCGTGTTGTATTTGAAGACTGATTTCAGGACTTTTTCTGCATTTGGTAAAGGTACACATTTAAAATTTTTCTTTCTTTCTGGCCTGTATCCACGGAGTAACCGCTAATCTTTAGCATGTTATTATACTGTGATATTAAATAAGCTAACTACTTGGTATGATAACAATTTAATGTGATGCTGCTTTTGTATAACCAACATTGTAAAAAATGAAAAATGGGAATTCCTTTAAGGATTACTTTATTTCTTAAATGCTTAAACTGAACAATTATTGTATTAACTATTTTTGTAGTTTACCTTCAATTGTAAAATCACACAATAGACAACTCTTATGGAGATGCACTAGTATCTTAACATTAATTTCAACCCCTTTATCCACATTTTCCACAATTAACCATCTTCTATATAAACTGTAGCATTTCTGTATCCTTAATCTTAGAAGAGTCCTCTACAATTAAGTGAATCCCTAATTTTAAAAACATGTCCATGGGTGCTACCAAATCATACTGTGAAAAACCACCTTCCAAGATTAAAGCTGGTTTCTAATTAGGTGGAAGTGCGCCATTACGTGGCTGTCACATTTCAGTTTCATCTCCTTTCCAGCAGTCACAGTCCTAGAGCCATAGAGCTGCAGGGCCTCTAGATGCAATGCAGTCTCACCGGTGACTGCTCATTCAGGACCGTAGCACACGTCACAGGTAAACAGGTGAGACTCCATCTCTGGATGCCCTGATTCAGCCATGACCAGGAATAAAACACTGTGGAAGCCCTGCATTTTACCTGGAACTCTTAGCTCTTGAGAGAACAAATTTGCCTTATTTATATAGTAAGTAACCCATCTAAGGTCAACACTCTTTGGAAGGCAGAGGGGATCTTGTCCATTTGTATTTTATTGTGGGCACATGTTTAATGTCTTTTAACAAGTGAAAGTCTGGTTTGATGAGTTTAAACTGCCTGTTAGCTCTCTTAGCACATATATATCCCTAATTCCTCTTCTACCTCTATTACTGTTACTTAAAATTTCTATAAGTGAGTAAATTTTGTAGAAATCTTCCTTTGACTTAACAAAACATGAGTCACAGCGGGCCGCAATATTGTCAGTTTTATTTTCACAAAGCCAAAACGTCAAAATGACTAGTGAGAAGATTAAAATGGTCTTTGTGAGCCCTCATCTCCTACCAGTGGCTACTGAGATTCAGAACTGCAGTTTGGAATACTCTCTTCTTAATAATCTGTCTATAGCAGTGGTTCTCAATCGGGGGCAGTTTTGTGCTTGAGGGGACACTTAGTTTTTGGAGACATTTTTGGTTGTCATAACAGCAAGGGGGCCCAGGATTATGTTCTTGGCGTCTAGTGGGTAGACACCAGGGTGCTGCTAAAAATCCTGCAATGTCCCTCCAACGCAGAATTATCTGGCCAAAAATGCCAGTAGCGCCAAGGTTAAGAAATGCTGTTCCAAAGGTTTAATAGCAATGAATGTGTGACTGGGCACCCCTTTTCAGAGCATAGTTCCCTAGGGTGATGCAAGATAAAAGCTGAGGCACTCTGTGCAGGAGGCGCGGCCCTTAGACTCTTGGAAAACAGTGGTGAGCGAGGAGTGCCTGGGAAGAAACCGTGGTGGTGGGGTATTGCTGAAACAGTACAAAACTACAAGGAGATTACAGGCCAAGTAAGAAAACCCTTGGGAAATCTGTTGTGATCCGGAACCAAATGGATTTTCACATTTCTGAGCAACACGTTTTCCTGTCCAGTTATGCCTCAGCCACCGCAAAAGGAGAAACAGTTTTCATATTTAGCCCATATTTACATATTCTCTAGTACTGTCTACTGCTTAACACTGCAGAATTATATTTTGATGTTTCTCTCCCTTACCAAAAAGGCTGGTTAAATGTTCATTTATCTATAATACATACTCTTGACTTTTTTCTTGCATGAATCTCTTTTGATAAAAACCAAGACACCTGGATAAATAAGTATGCCTTGGAATGCCAGAAGCCGTGCTGGTGGCTCGATGAAATGAGAAAGAGCCTAAATGTAAGAGCTAAAACAATACAACTCTTGGGAGAAAGAAGGACAAATTCTTTACAGCCCTGGATTCGGTAGTGACTTCTTGGATGTGACACAGAAGAACACAGCTAACAAAAAATTGACAAATTAGACTTAATGAAAATTTAAAAATTTTGTGCATCAGAAGACACTATCAACAGAGTGAAAAGACACCCCACATAGTAGGAGAAAATATTTGCAAGTCCTATTTCTGATAGGAGATTAATTTCTGGAATATATAGAGAACTCCTAAAACTTAACTAAAAACCACGAACAACCCACTTCAGAAGTGGAAAAGAACAGGCACCTGGGTGGCTCAGTCAGTTGAGCATCTGACCTCAGCTCAGGTCATGATCTCACAGCTCAGTGTGTGAGTTTGAGCCCTGCTTTGGGCTCTCTGCTGTCAGCGCAGAGCCACTGCAGATCCTGTTCCCCTCCCTCTCTGCACCTCACCTGCTTGCACTCTCTAAAGTAAACAAAACAACAACAAAAGAAGTGGAAAAGGACCTGCACAGACACCTCTCCAAAGAAGACACACAATGGCCAATAAGCACAGGAGAAGATGCTTTGCATCACTAATCGTTACATAAATGCACATCAAAACCACAATGAGATACCACCTCACGCCCATTAGGAGGGCTATTATTAAAAAAACAAAAACAAAAAAACCCAGAAAATATTGATGGGGACATGGAGAAATTGGCGCCCCTGTGGGAATGCAAACTGGTGCAGCCATGGTGGAAAACTGTATGGAGGTTCCTCAGAAAGTTGAAAACAGAATTACTACAGGACCCAACAATTCCACCTCTGGGCAGATACCCTAAGGAATCGATAGCAGGGTCTCAAACAGATACATGTGTGGCCCTGTTCACAGTAGCATTATCTGTAACAGCCAAAATGTGGAAGCCACCTCAGTGTCCCCTGACAGGTAAGTGGATAAGCAACATGAATACACTTGCAATGGAACACTGCTTAGCCTTAAAAAGAAAGGAGATTCTGACACCTGCTCCAACATGGATGAACCCTGAGGACATTATGCTGAGTGAAACTGGCCGATCACAAAAAGACAAATACTGTGTACTTCCACTTATATGAGGTGCTTAAAGTACTCAAAACAGTAAAATGTGCGTGTCAGGTGGGGAGGGGATGGGGAGTTAGTGTTCAATGTGTGCAGAGCTGCGGTTTTACAAGATGAAGAGCTCTGGAGATGGATGGTGGTGGCTGCACAGCAGCGTGGCTGTTTAACCACTGAGCTGTGGCTTGAGCACGATGAAGATGGTAAATTTCACGGTCAAGTGTATTTTACCGCAGTGACAAACGAGTATCCCTCCGCATTCTAGGAAGCCTCTGGCAAACACGGTTCGGTGCTTAAGCATCATCCCTTGCCATCAAAGGTTGCAGAAACAATCCTGCTGTCCCTAGGATGCACACCAGGATGAAAACCCACAGAAAAATTCGATCAATAACCATGGCGACGTACTTCCAATCATCTTGAATCTAAAAAACAAAAACAAAAATCGTGAAAGAGGAAAACATAAAGCAGGAAGGGAAGGGCATAGTGGACACATTCTCAGAACTGAACACTGAATAAATATGTTGCAGCAGCAGAAGCCATTCTGCAAGAAACCCTGTTTCCTAATGGAGTCCGAGGAAATCCTTCCTCAAGTCCCTCTATGTGTCATAGGAGGCAGGTATAAAATACTCTTGTTTAGTCTGTTTTGAATCAGAAATTTCTTGGGGCATCTGGCTGGCTCAGGTAGTAGGGCATACAACTCTTGATCTCAGAGCTGTGAGTTCAAGCCCCAAGTTGGGCAAAAAGCTTACTTAAAAACAAACAAACAAACAAACCCAAAATGTCTTAATGTATACATAACCTATTTTTTTGTAAACTGAATTCTAATTTATAAAGTTAGTAAAACCAGTTATTTGACTTGAGGACTCCTGGACTTTGTTAGAATAGCTAATACAATCCAGCCATCATTTACCATTGCTTCAAAGTACTGGTTCTTATCCAGTTTTAGATACTAATTTCCATTTAACATCTGTTCCAGACATGAAATAAGCAAATCAGGGCAAGGCCATCATCTCTCCCCCTCTGCCTCCTCGTCCTGCCCAGCTAACCAAACACCCTCTTCAACACTAAGGCCAAGTACCGCGGGACTCTAAACAGTGAGAGGACAGGCTGAAAATCAGAAATAATTGCTGACAATAAAGTAAAAGACCATAGAAAGAGCAAGACTAATTGTCTATAATACAGCCCCAATTCAGGCTTGAAATAGGAAGGAGAATTATATGTTAATTATACTCCTAGACAACTGAGAAGGCAAGGAAACTGTAATTGAATTGAAGAAGAGAGAACCCATGAATCAACTGATTTTGAAGAAATAATCGCATAATAAAGAGGCAGCATGTGATTTAGTGATTTAATTAAGTGCACTGAAATGGGACTGGGAGACAAGGATTTTCTTTTACTACTGTGAGCTGGAGCAGATGTGTCCTCCTGAAGACACTAAGGATTCTCGGCTAAAATTAGAATTATAATACCAATACTTCATGTGAATTCCTAAGGCTTTGGTTTGCAAGTGCCTCAAACACACAATGAACCTATGGTTCCCACCCACCTCTACCAGCTAACCTACGAAGGCTGTAGCAGGTAGACTTTGATTTTGTAACTGCAGCGTCTGAGAATCTGGGTAAATTATGTGACCTCTCTTTGCCTCAATTTCCCCATTTATGAAATGCAGATAAGAACAGTACTACCCTCAGAGGGTTAGGATGAGGATTAAGTGAAATAACGTTCTGGCACAGAGTCCTTAATGAATAGTACTTATTGATATTCATGCTGATTAAAAAAAAAAAAAAAGATGACCCTTATCCAACCACAAATCTTCCTCTGACAGCAATTCACACGGCTTTGCCTGGTGAACACAGATGAGACTCAGGTCTTCCACGTGAGCACAAGTGTGCTGCACAAACACAGCTGGGTGAGAATTTATGTCTAACTCCGAAAGTCCTAAAGGCGTCATCTGAGCCTGGAAACTTTGGGACTAATGATAACAAAGAAACATCAGGCAAAACGGTGCAAACTCTTGGCTCCTCCTCCTAGCCCAGCCCCAGAGATGTCCCAGAAGCAAGGAGAGCCCATACGTTAGAGGCTGGGGGGACCGTCCAGGTTCTGCTAAGGGGGGCCGGAGGAGGGCCTGAGGGGTGGGGGGCCCGGGGGAGCTTCGGGCTGTGCTCTTCTCACCCTTACCACTCTGCCTCTTCACAGCTTGCCCGCTCCCAGCCCAGAGACGCAGGTAACGCGAGAGCAGAGGACAGCCTGGCTGACAGGAAAAGCTGGGTGGTCGAGAGACATCCCTTGAGGGACAGGGTGGCCCAGAGGGAAGGGTGGCCTAGTCCAGTCTGGCCACATGGGCCTCCTGCCTTGTGGGCCCTCCCCAGATACCATCCAGCAAGGATGGCGGATGCCCCTGAAAAAGTGAGTTTGCGGGCCTCAGAACACAAACATAGCTGCTTGGAAGGACATTCACAGAACAGACAGGTTAAGGATGTAAACTAAAGAGGCTGTCCTCAGAGATCAGAGAGAGTATTGGGAACAGGAAGCACAACAAGCAGTCACCAAGTAAAAATGTGACCAAGAAGTGGAGGGAAAGACTCAGGACGGGAACAGTTGGCTGGAAGGAACCCGTGCGGAGGGCAGGGCGTGGCAGGAAGGAAGGCGGGAGCTGGAAGCACATGTGTGCGGTTCAGGGACAGACGTGGAGAGGAGGGAATCTTCACAGAGGAAACCTCGATTCTCTGAATCAACAATGAAAAACCTCACGATAAAATGGCTCCTAAGAATGCTGAACAATTTAGGAGAGACCCACACCGACACACTGTGTTGTGTGTCACTGGACTTGTCTACAAATTCCAGGAGCTTCTGGATAGAATTGATTCATCACAAAGAAACAGCATTCAGATTAACTTAAAACTTCATTAGTGATACTGAAACAAAAAAGCAACGGAGGAGGAGTGTTTTTAAGTATTTAAGAAAAAGACCTGACAGAGTTTTGTATCCAGCTAAACTCCCTTAAAAATGAGAGTGTTTATATTTTTAAGCCTACAGGCCTCAGAAGGTTTAACCATGAACACTTGGGATCAAGGCGTGCCAGTGTGGAGAGAAAGCCAGGAGGGCGAGGGTAAGTCAGTGGTTTAGTGAAGGTGATGTAGACTAGAGAAAGGGATGGCAGACCCCAAAACTATATCCCCCCCGAAATCCACAACTGAAGCTCTGGTAACATCCAGTGTGGCCGAGGCAGTGAGGAAGACCAGAGGGGAGGGCTGTGGGGTGGGGGGCAAGATGCAGATGCCGAGGAGTGAGGCAGATAGAACTGGAAAAGAGAGCTCGCATGTGGGTCTAAGTCGCTGAGACACAGCTTCCCGAAGAATGGCTTTCCAACCAGCAGAAACAATTCAGACTTTCCAGTGCTCAGCACAAACTGAGGCAAAAAAGAAAAATAAATGGAAAACATGCAATAAGATGGCAGAAATTTAGCCCTGATTAAACAGTAATTACAACAAATGGAAATTCATAAATCATTGATCTAAAGTCAGACTCTGGAAGGGATGAAACCACACGCATAGAGATATACGTGGACACCTATATACAGGTATATACACGCAGAGACGTGTCTGTGTGTCCCTGCGTATGTGTGTCCAGCCCAACAGGAAACTAGCTGCCTCAGGACTGTCCGCTCAGAAGACCGTGGCTCTGGCGCAGGCACACCTCCACGGCTGAGAGAAGCACTCAAACAGTGGAGCTGACCCCAGGGTGAGCAGCCGGAGACACACCGCCAACAAAGAGCCCTTCTGTGCGACCCCAAGTTTGCGTATTAACGTAATTAAACTTCTTACTAATATGGCCAAATGTGAGCAAGTGGTGATCCACACAAACAGCCTGGAGAAGGGACCAGCCAAGGCAGATGGACACCATAGTGTTCCCTTGCCGGGAGGGCCAGGGTGGTGGCACATGGGCTCCCCAAAACCCTCAGGAGGCGACCTGGGAAAGCAGCCCCTCAGTGAGGTTCCTAGGAGCCATGCGTAGTGCAAACCAGCCACGCTGAGCTGCAGATCTAGGAAGGTAAAGCCTCTCTGGAAAACCATGTAAGTGGCACGGCAGTCACAAACACGGGCAAAGAAGGCCTCCTTCTGACAGCCTGAGTCTCCTCAGCATGGACAGGCTGCGCTCTGCTGGCCTGTGGGCCAATTTCTGCTATTTCTGGAAAAACGGGAGAGCTACGACTGGGCCCAACTCCCCTGTGGTGACAGATGACCAGAGATGAGCAGTGGCTGCCCCTTGAGATGAGTCACGTGCCACTAGTTTGCCGCTAATGTATCTTCTTGGCATTTAGGTTGTGACTTCCCTTTTAGTAACAATTTTTTAAATGTCCTTTTATACAATAGGTCTTAGACCCTCGTGAAACTAACACTTTGTCAGGTGTCTAGTAAGTAATTCTTGGAATAGAGTAAATTTCTAATGACTTGATGGAGTCTTGAGTATTTAGATCTCAATCTTTATAAAATTTTTGCTACCTTAAATGATTCTTCTTAAGGTGGATAAAGAAAGGGGTAGAGAGCACCTACAAACATTGTCAGTGTTGCACAAATGTGAGATGTTCACAGATCATGTACTTAAGCTCCAACGGTTGTTTCAGCCGAAGTTAAAGGTGTGCCTGACTTTTGGCTAAATTACAGGCTCAGCAGGAGGCTCTGCCTTGTTAGGCACATGGTGGGCTCACAACTCTGCCGGTGGCTGGGCTGCGTGGGCAGGCAGCAGTTGCTGTCTCCCTCCCATCTCCTCCACGTTAATGTGCCATTCAGGGCGAAATAAAAGATGCTCCAGTCATTCCCTGTCAATGGTAATTACCTACAGTGTATCAGGAGCTGAAATGATCGGTTAATTAGCTTTTCTGCTGGGGCACCTGGTAGCTCAGTCGGTTAAGTGTCTGACTTCAGCTCAGGTCATGATCTCATGGTTAGTGGGTTCGAGCCCTGTGTCGGGCTCTGTGCTGACAGCTCAGAGCCTGGAGCCTGTTTCAGATTCTGTATCTTCCTCTCTCTTTGACCCTTCCCTGCTCACGCTGTCTCTCTCTCAGAAATAAATAAAACATGGGGCGCCTGGTTGGCTCAGTCGGTTAAGCGTCCGACTTTCGCTTAGGTCATGATCTCGCGGTTCGTGGGTTCGAGCCCCACGTCGGGCTCTGTGCTGACTGCCAGCTCAGAGTCTGGAGCCTGTTTCAGAGTCTGTGACTCCCTCTCTCTCTGACCCTCCCCTGCTCACGCTGTCCCTCTCTCTCTCTCCTAGAAATAAATAAAACATTAAAAAAATTTTAAAAATAAATAATAAAACATTTAAAAAATTAGCTCTTTGCTAATAAGCATCATAAGGCAGAGCCAATTAATTTTAAAGCAAAACTACTTATAAAATTATCAGATCTGATTCTGATAACCTTGGGAGTAAACAGAAGGTCAGAGAGCAGCCAGACATTTGATATTTTTAAGTGTGAAACTTCCCTATTCCTGGGGCACCTGGGTGGCTCAGTTGGTTAAGTGTCTGACTTCAGCTCAGGTCATGATCTTGTGATTTGTGAGTTTAAGCCCCGCATTGGGCTCTGAGCTGACAGCTTGGAGCCTGAAGCCTGCTGCGGATTCTGTGTCTCCCTCTCTCTCTGCCCTCCCCCCACTCATGCTCTCTCTCAAAAGTAAATAAACATTTAATAAAAAACAAAAAAAAACCTTCCCTATTCCTAATACTTGATATTAATTCTAGCATAAGATCTTTGAAGGAAATAGAAGTTCACCCAATTAGAAAGAAATGAAAAGAAAGAAATGAAAGAAAACAGTTTGACTAGGTAATTCACAAAAGATAATGTACAAATGGCTAGTAAGCATAAGAAGGAGATTCCTAATTGTTACTCACCAGGGAAAAGCTAATTAAACAGCATTGAGGTGCCACTTCACACATGTGGGTGAGGATGTGTGGCAAGTGAACTCTCAAACATTGCCCAGGGTGGGGTATCAACTGGGCCAAACACTTTGGAAACCTTACAGTAGCCACTGAAGTTAAAAAGACATCTCTCAGTTCAACATTCGCAAATCAGTCTATGTGATACATCACATCAATAAAAGAAAAGATAAAAACCATATGATCCTGTCAATAGAGGCAGAAAAATCATTTGACAAAATACAGCAGCCCTTCTTAATAAAGACTCTAGGGAAAGTCGGGATAGAAGGAACCTACTTAAACGTCCTAAAAGCCATCCATGAGAAGCCCTCAGCTAACATCATCCTCAACGGGGAAAAACTGAGAGCTTTCCCCCTGAGATCAGGAACACGACAGGGATGTCCACTCTCACCACTGCTGTTTAACATAGTGCTGGAAGTCCTAGCATCAGCCATCAGACAACAAAAGGAAATCAGAGGCATCAGAATTGGCAAAGAGGAAGTCAAACTTTTCACTCTTCGCAGACGACATGATACTCTACATAGAAAACCCGACAGGCTCCACCAGAAGCCTACTAGAACTGATCCAAGAATTCAGCCAAGTTGCAGGATACAAAATCAACGTACAGAAATCGGTTGCATTTTTATACACCAACAATGAAGCAACAGAAAGAGAAATCAAGAAACTGATCCCATTCACAATTGCACAAAAAAAACATAAAATACCTAGGAATAAACCTAACCAAGGATACAAGAGATCTGTATGATGAAAACTATAGAAAACTTATGAAGGAAATTGAAGAAGACACGAAGAAATGGAAAAACATTACATGCTCATGGATAGGAATAATATAGTTAAGATGTCATTACTACCCAGAGCAATCTACACATTCAATGCAATTCCAATCAAAATTGCACCAGCATTCTTCTCAAAACTAGAACAAACTATCCTAAAATTTGTATGGAACCACAAAAGACCTCGAATAGCCAAAGTAATACTGAAAAATAGGACCAAAACGGGAGGTATCACCATCCCAGACTTTAACCTCTACTACAAAGCTGTCATCATCCAGACAGTGTGGTATTGGCACAAAAACAGACACATAGACCAATGGAACAGAATTGAGAACTCAGAAGTGGACCCAAAGGTATATAGCCAACTAATCTTTGACAAAGCAGGAAAGAATATCCAATGGAAAAACGACAGCCTTTTTAACAGATGGTGTTGGGAGAACTGGACAGCAACATGCAGAAGAATGAAACTAGATCATTTTCTCACACCAAGCACAAAAAGAAACTCAAAATGGATAAAGGACCTGAACGTGAGACAGGAAACTATCAACACCCTAGAGGAGAAAGCAGGAAACAACCTCCTTGACCTCCACCGCAGCAACTTCTTACTAGACACATCCCCAAAAGCAAGGGAATCAAGAGCAAAAATAAACGATTGGGAACTCATCAAGATTAAAAGCTTCTGCACAGCAAAAGAAACAACCCACAAAACTAATAGGCAACCAACGGAATGGGAAAAGATAATTGCAAATGACATATCAGATAAGGGTTAATATCCAAAATCTATAAGGAACCAAACTCCACACCCGAAAAACAACCCACCCAGTGAAGAAATGGGCAGAAGACATGAACAGACACTTCTCCAAAGAGGACATCCAGATGGCAAACAGACACATGAAACGATGCTCAGCATCCCTCCTCATCAGGGAAATACAAATCAAAACCACACTGAGATACCACCTCACGCCAGAGTGGCTAAAATGAGCAAATCAGAGAAGTCTAGATGCTGGCGAGGATGTGGAGAAACGGGCACCCTCCTACACTGTTGGTGGGAATGTAAACTGGTGCAGCCCCTCTGGAAAACAGTGTGGAGGTTCCTCAGGAAAATAACAATAGAACTCCCTTATGACCCAGCAATAGCACTGCTAGGAATTTACCCAAGGGATACAGAAATGCTGATGCACAGGGGCACATGGACCCCAATGTTCATAGCAGCACTCTCCACAATAGCTAAAACATGGAAGGAGCCTAAGTGTCCATCCACGGACGAGTGGATCAAGAAGATGTGGTTTATCTATACAATGGATACTACATGACAATGAGAAAGAATGAAATCTGGCCATGTATAGCAACATGGATGGACCTTGAGAATGTTATGCTGAGCGAAATAAGTCAGGCAGAGAAGGACAAATATCATATGTTTGCACGTATAGGAGGATTAGGAGGAACTTAACGGAGGAACAAGGGCGAGAAGAAGGGGGGAAATGGTGGGGGAAAGGGAGAGAGGCAAACCATGAGAGATTCTTGAATGCTGAGAAACAAACTGAGGGCTGATGGGTGTCGGGGGGAGGGGAGAGATGGGCATGGAGGAGGGCACTTGTGGGGATGAGCACTGGTGTTATATGGAAACCAATTTGACAATAAACTATTTGTGGAAAAAAAATAAAAAGACATCTCTCCAGTGACCAGCAGCCCCACCCCTAGGTGTACCCTCAGGGGAAATGAGTGCACATGTTCACCTAAAGACGTGTAAGAATATTTATGGCAGCTTGCCTCAAAATAGCTCCAAACTAGAAACAGCCCATGTCCAAGAACAGTAAAATAAACAGGTGACAAAGCCCTCGTGTAGAATATTATATACCAATAAAAAACACCAAGATGATAACCCTTAAAGGCATTTTGTTGAATGAAAGAGGTAAGACGTGAAAGGGTTTGTACTATAGAATCCCATCTAAATGAAGTTCAAGAAGAGGTAAAACCATCAAGGAAGTCAGATCAGCAGTTAGTGAGGCGGAGGGGTTGCTGACTGGGAAGGGGCACTGGACACATCCCATGTGCTTGCTTAGCTCAGCGTTCCATGGGAGAACACCTCATGTGAAAGCAGGTACACTTAATAGGCATACATTTTTCACCTCAATAGGGAAAAAAAACACAGAAAGTAAAAACTGTAAGCTCAGCTGGTCTTGTGCCCTTTTCTGGCTCATCTTTTGACCGAGTGTGTTGGCATCAGATGTCAGAGCTGGTAGCTCAGGGGCCAATGCCCAGACACACTCACGGGCTTAGTTGTTCCACTGTGCACACGAAGGGTTAGGCTCCGGTAAGTGAGGCACACGTCCAGGGACCCCCACCTGGTAAATGGAGGGGCCAGTCCGAGCACAGGCTGCTGACTCCGGACTCTGATCTCTTGACCCACCCTAAATGTTTTTTGAATGAACGACCAACCAGTGTAATAACATATCCTTACCTCTTTGGCTTCATTTTGTGCTTTCATATTTTCAGCAATATACTTGACACTCTGGATGGCTTCTTTGACTTCCGGTGACAGAGCAGAGAGGGACAGCACAGCGTTGACAGACTCAGAACTGGAGCTTCTCGGGAGGTTGGCACTGAAATTTGAGATTTTTATTCTGCGGTGGTGGCAGTGGCCGCACATCCCGTCCTGGCAGGGACAGCCTTCCTTGCAGCCTCTGGACTCTGTGTGGCTGAAGCAGTTCAGGTTTGAGAGCTCAGCACTGCAGGAGGGCCTTGGCTTCTGGGTGTGGCCTTCACTGCTCTCGGGCCGAGTCATGAACATGACCCTGGGAAGCAAGTGCAGGAAAACGGTCTTCACCCACGCGGGCATCGTGTGCGTGGTGGGGGTTCTGTAGTGCACGTTGAGCACGAAGACGGTGATGACAATGGACAGGGTCACGAAAATCATGGTGAACAGGAGGTACTCGCCGATGAGGGGAATCACCAGCGAGGTGGAGGGGATTGTCTCAGTGATGACCAGGAGAAACACAGTCAGGGAGAGGAGGACTGAGATGCAGAGGGTCACCTTCTCTCCGCAGTCGGAAGGCAGGTAGAAGACCAGCACGGTCAGGAAGGAGATGAGCAGGCAGGGGATAATGAGGTTGATGGTGTAGAAGAGGGGCAGGCGTCGGATGTAGAGCGAGTACGTGATGTCGGGGTAGATCTCCTCGCAGCAGTTGTACTTGATGTCGTGCTTGTAGCCAGGGGCTTTGATGACGGCCCACTCGCCACTCTCCCAGTACTCCTTGAGGTTCATGGAGGAGCCAATCAGGACCAGGTCAATCTTTGCCTTGTCGTAGGACCAGGAGCCGAACTTCATGGTGCAGTTCTGGTAATCAAATGGAAAGTAGGTCACGTCGATTTTGCACGAGCTCTTAAAGATGGCCGGGGGCATCCAAGTCACCTCCCCTGTGTACTTGAGTAAAGCTTTGGTCTTGTCGTCCACCTGGAAGTCCCCAACAGCACTGCAGACACAGGTGGCAAATGACACGGTCATTATCATGCAGTTGCCCAGGCCAGCTTCTCCCACCACCCAAAGTAGGTGGCAAGTGGCAGCTTATAAACTACAGAACATGAGAGCCCCGTGTGCCATGCAAGGTGACCTGGTTTACCTCCCCACTGGCTGACAGGAACACTGAGGCCCAAGCCTCCGTTCCTGCAATAATCTGACTTGGCCCTTCCCCCCCTCCTCCCCCCGCCCCGACCCCGGGCATGTCACTGGTTTGTTCTGCCAATGCAACTCTGCCTTGATATTGACAGAGATACTTTCAAATGCCAGAAAGTAATTTTTTCCCCCTTTCAAGAAATGGGATGCATGCTGTCCATGAGGCAGGCAACCTCTGGGGACATTTGGCCCTCATTCTGCTGTGGTTTGGGTCTGCAGACGCCTCATTCAGTCTCCATGCTGGCACTTCCTGTGTGTGCACACACCTGTGTGAGGCCTGGCTACAGGGAGCCCGCTCCCACCATACTGAGCCCTGGCAGATGGGCTCCCACCAGACCTGACCTCTGACCCTGAGTTCCCCACACCCCCCACCCCACCCCTGCTTTGGGTTGAACAATGACGTCTTCTGATGCCTTGTCTTTCAAATCCAGCACAACGGGCACTCCTGTGCCTTCAGTTTCCTGATAGTTTCTGATCTTTCCCTGTTTTCTCCCTGTGCCTCTTTTCCCTGCACACCCGCACTTTCCTTTTACCCAGAGACCGATGTACCGAGTTCTACATCTGAGAGAGCAGCCGGCCCTCAAGTGGTGGCCTCACCTGGGTCAGGCTCCAGACGTGTCCCTGGGTCAGCTCTGCTGGTCGCTTAGAGTTCAGACCCTTCAGAAGGAACCGCCACTCACCTGCCTGAAGAGCTAATGCATGTGACAGACCTAAACATGCAGGGATCTCTGTGTGTTCCTGTCGTGATGCAGTAAGAACATGTAGAAACAGGAAGGGACACGTCCCACCCGTGTCTTCCATCTGCTCTCGGGCCCCCCCCTTCCTGTGCCTCCAGGGAGCAGGACAGTTGCTACCAGTGAAGACACCAGGCTGCTGCCTCCCTCTCATCTGGTCGACCGATTTGTCCAGAGGGGCCCTGCTGCCCTTGTTCATTCTCCATCCCCTTGCCAGCCCTGCAGCGCCTCACATGGCTAGGGGAGGGGTGCGGAGCAGGGAGGGCCCACACGGCCCTCACTACCTTGGAACACAGCGTCCAGGGTCAACAAAACATCAGGGCAGAAGGGGACCTCTTACTACAGCCCGCAGGCAGGGAGACTGCCTTCAGGGGCACCATGGCAGAGACCGGCCCACACATCTAAAACATCGATGACCCAGTCCTTGCTCATGTCCCTGCGCTGGTCCCTGCCCTCGTCCAGCCCCTCACTTTACTGACCGGGAATCGAAAGGTCAGAGGGCAGGGCTCCCACAGTTTGGGGCACGAGTTAGGGGTCACAAAACCGCCTGTGCACCCAAAGGCCAAACACCGGAGACAAGTTTACCTGGGTGGTTGGTGCTCACTTCTGCTTGTTTCTGGGGGTCCTGGTCATGGGCTGCGCCTGCCCAGACCAGAAGGCGTGTCTGCTGACCAGGCAGGGTCTGTGACCCATCTCTGCCACCAGCAGACAGGCAAGGCCTTGGCGGCACAGCCTCAGCCATAGAAAGGGCACCTGGTGGATCTTGTGGACTCAAAAGAATGACCAGAAAATCCATGGTCTTGCCCTCTGGGTGCCCAGGGGATGGCCTGCAGTAAGAGACAGTGGGGATGGGAGGCGTCCAGGAGCCCGTGTGTGAGGCTGTTGAAAAAGAGAAGCCCAGGTGGGTGCACACGATGAGCTGAGGGCTCATTCTAAGGGACACTGAGCAAGAGAAGTGAGTGGGTGTGAACACTCTCCAAGTTCCCAGCAAAGAAAAACCTACCGACCATGTCATCAAAGTCAGGCTACATGCGGCCTCCTGAATCTCAGAAGATGAGCATGTGGGGTCCAGCGACCAACCCCAGGGTGGCCTGTGTGGGCTGTGCAGGGTCAGCTGGAGGTGGTGATCACCAGGGAAGAGCCCTAGGGACAGAAACCACCAAGAAGCATCTCCCCCTCAGGAAAGAGGACTTCAGTCTGTGCTGAATCCTCAGCAAGGGGAACAGTGAAACAGGGCCTTTATAGCTTCCGGTTTGGGGGAGGGAACCAAAAAGGTGGGGGGTCTACCAGCAGTCTACAGGGACGACCTTCGGGGCTGGTGTTGGCTTGGGTGTCTCAGAAATCCCCCCCAACAAACTCCCTTCTGGAAGGACAGAGACCCACCCAGAAAAACACTGCTTAGGGTAGGACCCAAGTCAAACCAGGTCGTAAACAGGCTGAGAAGAGAAAAGATGGGTTACAAGCTGGAGAAGTAGGCATCTAGCAGCAGCTGGGCTCAGGCCTAGAGGCCTGCGTTTCCAGGGGGCTCTCAAGCTGATGTAAGGAGACCCCCACCCACCCTGTTCCCTCTGGGAGCCTGTCCTAAAGGTTCAGCAAAGGCCACCTATTTCAACAATAGCAATGGAAAAGGATTAGATTGTATTGTAAGAAATGTATGAAGATCAATAACTGAATCACAAGCAGAGAAGCCACACGCCAACAGGACAGCCTCAGAACGGGTAACAGTGACAACCTGATATTACAGATTAAGAAGTGCTAAGCGATCTCTGGAAGCTGGGAAGTAACAGCCTCATCAGAAAAAAGTTAAATAACCTGGCCAGACAATAATAGCAGGTGCATCAAGAGCTGACAACTACTCGGAAAAGAATCAAAAACCATCTTAGAAGCAAAGGCTAAAAGAAGATGCCAGAGGAAGTGCAGTCGCAGGAATGAAACCAGAGAGAGGGGACGAGTTTTAAATCAAACAGAAACAAGAACTTGAGAGAGAAGGGCAGAGAATGTAGGTGAAGAAGTTCCGACATACACGAAGACATAGTTCCTGGAGAGAAAGCCCAAAGCAGCAGAACAAATCTAATGACCCAGAACTTGAAACAAGCTTTCCTGGAATAAAGGCGCATCGCATTGTGCATGTGGCACAGAGTCAAACAGCTGACTTTACAAAGGAAGAAGCCTTTGGGTGCCTGAGCTGAAAGAACACCCTGCAAGGATGTGCATCCCACTTCGCCCAGGACAGTCGGGGTTCACTTCGTGGTCCCCACATGCTTATCAGCAGAGTCCCCTTTGTCTTCTAAAAGTCCCCCAAAGTCACATTAGACTGGTTTTGACAGTGACACTTCATACTGGAACGGTTGGCATTTTTAAAAGATTTTTATGAAGGAAGATTTCAGCCAATAATTTTCTATCCAGCTAAGTAACCTGAACATAGTCTCTAAAAAGGCTGCAGTGAATTATAAACTTGTAAGAATGCAAGGCAGCTTGTGCCCATAACTGCCTTCTGAGGATCCTGGCAGAGAATGAACTTCAGAAAACCAACCACAGGGGAAACTTTGGCATGGGGACGTAAAAGGTGTTTCTCGTGTCAAAATGAAGAGACTCTCAATGGAGGATCAGTCCTGGGAAACAAGTTCTAACTCCGAGGGGCTGGTGGTTTTCTTTACAATCTATCTTCAGTTTCAGACTCCAAGGAAATTCCTTATGATACTTGCTCCTCACCACATCCAATCTGAATCAGTTCACTGTGACGCAGAACTGTTAAACCCACACCCTAAAGTCCTCCAGCTGTTCACCCAACATTTTCAGCTAGAAAATAGCCATAAAATACAAATCATGAGATTAAAATTTTTGCATTTTCTTAATTCTAGCTTATCAAAAATTCTGAACACTCTGCCCAGTTCCCTAAGAGCCTCTGGATCAGGAGATTGGTAAGACTGCTCCTGTTTTGCAAACCACTTGAGTGTATCTTGTGTCCCAGTGCTGTAAGGACTGAATTTACAAATACAAGTTGCATGAAAGAAACATTTATGAATCATGTATTTCCTTGGAAAACCAGTAAATAAAACAGGGCCCATTTTTGGAGTGGCTAAAGACCCTTCTTTTAGCTAGTGAACAGAAAGTGGGACTCAGTCAAAAACATAGCTTCTGCAGCCCTAATAAAGCATATGAGTTTGTACTCCTGTGGCATAAAAACCTAAACACTGAAGTGTTTTCAGTTATTAAAATCAGATTAATTCTATAGGACGTGCTTTCCTGATAAATGCTTAAGGTTAAAGCAGTATAACTTTAGAGATAAAGCACAGGTATAAAAATGATGTTTTTCAATACACAGAGAATAAACTAGTATATACTGTAAAACATCAATTAAAGTTTATGTCTGCTTAATAACAATGCTTAAATGTGGAAGAGGCCAGTTTAGGAGGCGTCATGATGGGTAGGCTGAGCCTGGCAGAGGAAGACCCTGTGAAATACAATGGAGAGGCTTCCTGAAACTGTGGTCTCAGTCACCAGGGGCAGAAGAACTGAGTGCTCTGTGGTCCTGATCTACAGGGAAGGGCAGGTGCTAGTGAGGGCCCTGGCAGCAGACTGCCCTCCCTCCCTCCCCCGGTCTGTTACAGCGCAGTTGGATATCGTAGTTCATGCCTGTCTCCCCTGGTGTGTGGTAAAGTCCTGGAGTCAGGGTGGCCATGGCCGGCATCTGGCCTATAGCAGGTGCTCAGTAAACACCTGTGGAATTAACAAATCAATGAAGCCCTCTTGGAAAAGGTCCAGGGAAGGCCAGGCAGCCAAGGGCCCAGAGTCCAGGCTGACAGCACTGGGAGGCGGTGGGCCACCCGGCCCCTTACTTGTTGTACAACACAATGTCCGGCTTCCAGATCTTCTGTGCAGGGACACGCATGAACTCTGCCCCATCGTACTCAGAGGGGTCCCACTTCAGCTTGTAGTCGTTCCAAATCTGCAGGGAGGAAGCAGGGAGAGGAGGAGGCAGCAGGACGGCATGGTCTCCTGGACCTCAGCTGTTCTGGTGAAGCCCCCACCTCCATGCTGCAGACCCCAGGAGCCCCACTCTCCTCTGGGCATCTGTGGGGGAGATGGCACTGGGCTGGGTGTGTAGGCTGCTTCCCAGCTATAGAGCCACTGCCCTCATGGCTGGGCAAGCCCAGCCCCTCATCAACAGTGAGGCCAGGTCTGTGCTGTAAGCGCCTGCTGTTTACATCCCTGAAAGGGCACTCCAGGAGCTTTTTCAGATGTGTTCCCCACTGACAGAAGCAGGGTGCTAATGACACACAGCCCTCTTCCACCTCCAGGTTAAGCAGGTGTGGTGTCTGAAGGGTTCTGGGGAAGGAGCCATGATCCCACTGGGGCCCGAGAAGCATGTAGGGACAGAGACTGGGAGATGGGAGGAGAGACAGGTGAGGCTGTGGACAGAGTGCCGAGTGGGCACCGTGCCCTCCTGGCTTTCCAGCCTTCTGGGGGTGGGAAGACTGTGTGGGATGAGCACTCAGTTGGGTGGGCTGGCAGAGGGTCACACTGGTCCAGGGAGGTATCTGTAGATCTGGGCAAAGCTTCCCCAGGGGTGGGGGGAGAGCATGTGGAAGCCCGTTTCTTTGGCCTCAATCTGAATAGGAAAATCCAGAGACCCTGTTCCCACTCTACCAAAGAAAGCAGCAGGATCTGACTTGAACAAATTTTTGGCAAGACGAAAGGAATGAGGTGGCCTCACACCAGCCCAAAGTCAGGGGCTGAGCTCCAGGCTGAGTCTGTGCTAGTTTGCAGGGTTACTGAGGAGGTCTCTCCCTCCAGGCTGCAATCTGTCATCTGTGGCTTGGGGGGGGGCTGACTTCCAGGGAGGCTGTGGAGCAGTGCATGTGACTCCAAGCCCAGGAGGAAACATACCAGCCAGTCAGTGGACCCCAATCTGGGTTCACCAGAGTGAAGCGGGCTGTTTGGGCTCTTTGTGGGTCCCTCACAGCGAATACAGAAGTGACCACCAGGGGGCAGCAGCTCTCACTTACTTGCTTGAGCCACAGGTTGGTCTCCATGATCTGGTTTACTTCGTCCTAGAAGGAGAGAGAAAAAGTGGACAGTGAATTCAAACACAAGGCTGGTTCTGGGAAAGCCTCTTCCAGAAGCCCCACTCCCATGGCCACGACTTGCGGCTCTAGCACTCACCACCTTCACCAGCTGAGACATGGACACCTCAAACTGGATGATGACAGGGTCAGACACGTTGGCCACAGGTCGGATGATCTCGTTGTAATCTTCGAACAGCCGCTCAAACAGACGGTGCTCAGCCTCGGAGGCGACGGCCACTGCAGGAAATAATGGCCACTTTTCCCCTCGCCAGGGACACCACCCACCTACAGCCTCCTTACCACATGCTGGGAGTGCTCTGTGGAGCTCCAGACTTCCAGAGGAGCCCCACTCCCTCAAGTTACAGGCTGGGAAACAGAGGCCCAAAAGATACATAAGGTCACAGTCATCCAGGGAGAAACTAGTTACAAACCTGGGCTGGAATTTGGATAGATCTGGTGCAAATCCTGCCAAACTACTTGTAAGCTGTGCGAGCTGAGGCAAGGGGTCTAACCTCTCTGAGCCTCACTTTCTTTGCCTATAAAAACAGATTGTATATGTATCCCCCTCACAGGACTGTTCTAAGTGAAGTGCTTCTCACTGCTAGCGTGCCCTAAGAGCTCAAGCACTAGCCTTACCTCACTGTTACCACGGGCTTGGTGGGGTGCAAACGCAGCCAGCTTACGGACAGCCACCTGCTGCCTCCATGACGACAGATGGCCGCCCGGGGCTAGATGTTCTGCCTCCCAGCCTGCAGGAGACTGCAGCCCAGGTCTGGGGTCTCCTTCATCTGCCCAGGACCCCACAGGAGTTTGGCCACCAACCCTCTGTGATCTTGAACTGAGACCCATGGTTCCTGCTGAGTGTGTCAGAGACCTTACCTCTCTGAAACCTTGGGGACCCCCTTTGTTTGCAAGCTGCCTGAGTCAGCTGTGCGCCTTCCCACTTACAGAACTGAGGATAAACTGGGAAGGGGGTGAGGGGAATCCTGGAGGAAAAATGGGGTCTCGCCCTCTCCCCCTTCCTCACCCCGTAGGGGTCACAGGCAGGAGCTGCGTGAGAAGCGGTGGGGTCCTCAGCGCCCAGGAGGCAGAAACAGCGCTCTCCAGGCAGACCCCCCGTGCAGCCAAGCCCCAGGCCCCTCGGTGTCTACCGCCCTCCTAGACCTTCCCGCAGGGTCAGGGCCGGCCGGTCCGGGGCGCGCCCCTCTCCCGACCGTGACACCGGCCCAGCCTTCAGGGCCCTCTGGCCTCCGTTTCCCCATCTATTCGTAGGACGAGGGGTGGGCGGGATGCGGACAGGGGAACGGACGGCCAGGGCGCCGGCCCTCCCGGCTCGCACCCAGACGACTCTGGGAGGGGGGGCCGGAGGGGAGACGGGCCCCCCAGACCGGCTCGCGCCCTTCCTACCTCCCGCCCTCCGGCCCTCCGGGTTCGCACCCATACCTGGCGGCCGCGGGAGCGGGAGCAGCAGCAGCAGCAGAGGCAGCGCTCGGGGCGGCGGGAGCCCCGCGGCCGCGGCAGCTCGCGGCGGGGCGCCCATGCTCGCGGGGCGGGGGCGCGGGGCGCGGCCAGGGCGGAGGCCGACTCCGCAGCGGCTCCCGGCGCAGCCCGCCGCTCGCAGCCGGACGCGGGGCGCGGGGCGCTGCCCTGGCCCCTCCCGCGGGCGTGGGCGCCGCGGGCTCGCGGGCTGCGCGGGGCGGGGGCGGCGGCGGCGGCGGGCGGGGCGCGGGGCGGGCTCATCCGGCCTCCCGCGGGGTCGCGCCCCGCACCCCCTCCCGAGCCGCGCGGACACACGCGCCGGACGAGGCCTCGGCGCTCGGACGCCGCCGTTCAGTAAGTGCAAGTGCGTCGGTGCGATGCTGCGGTTTGTGACCCGGGTGGTTCGGGAGGGAGACGGCAGGGCTGGAAGCGGCGAGTTGGTAATCGTTGAGGCTGGACTTTAGAATACGTTTGGAATGTTCCTTGATAAACGGTTAAAAAAAAAAAGAGAGAAACAGACACAAAAATGAGGCTTCCGTGCGCTCCCGCCCTGCTCCCCCAGCGTCTACACCTGTGCTGCCCCAGGGCTTGCGGTGAGCACGCGGGGCCTCCAGACCACCTACCAGGGCTGGGGTCGGGCACCCACATGAAAGCCAAACAAGAGAAGACACTGTGCAGGACTCAGAATCTAAGAATTGGGGGCAGTCTCTCAGACCCCCATTTAGACCGTTCTCATTCTCTGGGCAAAATCCCCTTCATTTGGAAAATCTTGCAAATCAGATATACAACCAGGAACTTGTACTCAGTAGCTACAAGGAACCCTCCAAACTCAGAAGTACAAAAAGATAGGTGTGAGGGTCTTGGTGGGGGTGCAAATGTTCTAAAATTGGATTATGGTGATAAACTTATTAAAACTCATTGAGTTATACACTTAAAATGGGCAAATCTTATTATATGTATGTTACACCTTAATAAGTTTGTTTTTAAAATCTCAACACTAAGAAAACTGAAGCCCATGACCAAAAAAGAATTAGTCATTTCACCAAAGACGATATACACAGGCAAAAAAAAAAAAAAAAAAAATCACATGAAAAGATGTTCAGTATCAGCTATTAGGGAAAAGCAAATGGAAACCTGGCTGATACACCACTTTACAACCACTGCGATGGTGAAAATAAAGCAACACCGAGTGCAGTCCAGGATCCAGAGCGGCTCGCTCTCATCGCTTACTGCTGGGGATGCAAACTGTAGGCCCCTCCAGAAGGTAGTGTGACAGTCCTGGCAGTAGACATACATCCCCACGTAACCCAGCGACCACATTCCTGGGTATTTATCTAGAGGAATGAAAACCTGACTTCACACAAACTCCCACACACGTGGATGTTTATAGCAGTTTTATTCATAGTTGCCCAAAAGCGGTGCTTTAGCGCTCACAGCCGGGGTCTGCTCAAACCCTTGCTGCCTCAGCAACATGCTTGGATCTCAAAGAAGGCATGATGCTGAAGGACAGAAGCTGCTTACTCTCCAGACGCTACACACTGTGCGACTTGTTGGAACGGCATTCTCGAAAGGACCAAACCGCAGTGATGGAGAGGCGTCATTGGCTGGCAGGGACTCGGCAGGGAGGGAGGCGTTTGGCTGATGGGTCTCCCATGTCCTCATTACAGGAATCTACATATGTGTTCATATTCAGAGAACGATACATAGAAAGTCAATTTTATTGTATTATTTAAGAAATGGAATTTTAGGGGCGCCTGGGTGGCTCAGTCGGTTAAGCATCCGACTTTGGCTCAGGTCATGGTTTCGCGGTCCATGGGTTCAAGCCCCACATCGGGCTCTGTGCTGGCAGCTCAGAGCCTGGAGCCTGCTTTGGGTTCTGTGTCTCCCTGTCTCTCTGTCCCTCTCTACTACTCCCCACTCATGCTTGCTCTCTCTGTCTCTCAAAAGTAAATAAAGGCTAAAAAATTAAAACAAAAAAGAAATAGAATTTTAAAGGTCCTTCTCTATTTCGCAGATACTTTAAGAGCCTGTCACGTGCCAGGCACCGGGCAAAGCAGTATGTGGAAGGACCAGTCAGAGCGTCTGGGAGCGAACCCGGCCTTGACAGAAGGCAGAACATGACCAGGGCTGTGGAGAGGGCCATTCCTTCAGAAGGGGAGCCAGGGGCGGCTGCTCAGAGGAGGGGCATCTGGGCTTGAAGGAGGAATAGGAGTCATTCATTCACTCAACAAACATTTATTAAGCACCTGCCGCGTGCTGAGCCGCGTCCTAGGCCCTGGGGATGGTGCTTGCAAACGAAGGCCCAGGTTCCTGCTCTGACAGAGCTCACGCTCTAGTGGGTGACGTGTGGACAGTGCGCCGAGGAGGGCTCAAGGCAGCTGGGTGACTGGGGAACGAAGGGTGGACTCGAGCAGAGCCCTGGATGGTGCAGCCACCGCAGGAGCTCGGGAGGCTCAGGGAAGAAGGTCTGGGGAGAAGGTACAGCACATGCAAAAGCTTTGAGCTGGGAGGGCCCAGAAGTGTGGAGGGTCTAAGAGAAGACCAGTGGGCCTCGCGCGGTGGGGGAGTGGAGGACCACGGGGTGAGAGGTGGGCCGGGATATGGGCAAGATTCCTGGTACGCAGCAGGTGCCGCTCTGGTCCGTGTCCGTAAGCCCCGCGGGGAAGGAAACTGGCCTAATTCCTCTGGCCGAGGTTTGCTGGGGCCCCACCAAGGCCTTCAGAGAGGACAGTCCAGGGCTCCCACCCTGTCTTCCCCCGGCCGTGGATGTCTGATGCGGCTGATGGCTGATGGGCTCATGTACTTGGGGCCTCATCAGCCATCACTCAGGAGGAAGCAGGAAACCGCTCACCTGGCCGCTCATATCACCTCACCCCACAACCCTGGGGCCCTTGGGCAAGCAGGGCAGCTTAGGGCCCCTCAGAAGGCGTGTGGGTCTGGAAGAGGGGGGGTAGGAAGAGCCCCACTGTGCCGAGCACACACACAACCACGAAGACCCACAGGAACAGCCGGTCCACCACCATGGCCACGTACTTCCAGTCTTCAATGACCTGCGGGCAGACAGAGGGGCTGGTCACAGGTGCCCGGGACTCCTGCTTCCACTCCTTCACTCAAGCTGGGCCCTCACTATCGGGCAAGAGACACCCCCACCCCCGGCAGCTGGTGTGGCCACCTCTGTGCCTCTCAGGTCCTCAGTCCCCTCCCCCCAGCATTGCAGGCCCCCAGACTATCCAGGAGGCCAGGGTAGAAGAGCTATTAATGCCGCACGTTGTGCTTCGAGAGCCAAATCTGTTATAAATAAGAGGGATGGGGCCTAGCAAGGCCCGTCTCTTGTTCTCACCCCAAGCTGCGTGGGGGGCAGGGCAGTGGGGCCTGCAGGGCCGCCCCCCGCCCCCCAGCCTCCACTCCATCTTCTCAGGCCGCCGTGGGGGTGGGGCTGGCAGAAGCCTGCTGGCCTCCAGAGGCACCACCGCCTTTGCCTGGGGGACCCAGCAGCCTGCTCTGTCCCCTGGGACCCCTTCCCAGGCCCTGGGCTCACACCCTTGCCCGTGTGGCCCCTCTGCCTGTCTTCCCTGCTACGAGCAGCCTGACGAGAACTCAGCAGAGGCTCTGGGGTTGGGAATGTGGGCAGCAGCAGACAAGCTGACGTCAGTGACCCAGTTTGTCCGGGTGCCGTCAGTGGTGTGCGTCTACTCTGCAGAATAGTCCTGTGTCAAGCGGCCCCCACCCCCCAGCCACACTCGGTGCTGCCTGTCCCCAACGCCCCCTGCTCTCCAGGTGGGCTCTCCTCGGCTTTCTTGGGTTTCGTTCTGACAGCCCTAATTTCAGATGACTTCTTTTCCAGTGTGTGTGTGTGTTTTCCCCTCTTTTTATATTTGTGCGCTATTTATAGTGACCAGTTGGTCACCAGGCGGGTGCGAGTGCTGGGCTGGCTTTGGGGTGGCCGTGCTCCGCAAGGGAAGAAAGCCCAGGCCTGGGAACGCCGACCACCCAGTAAGTGCACTGTGTGCTCAGTGCAGGGCAAGAAAGTTTAAGGACGCCAGAAAGATCTGCATGTGGAGCTTGGCTCTGCTTTGTGCCAGCTGTGCAACCCTGGGCAAGTCACTGAGGCTCTCTGAACCTAGCTTTGCCCGTTGTGACATGAGGTTGGAGTACACACCACTTCCCAGGGGTCCCGTTGGGCCCTGGCAGAGCCCCTCATGTGTGCTTGCAGCTCAGTGAGCCGGCGACGGTAATAATGGGGGGTCCTGCCTGGCTGCTCCCCACAGGAGGCTTTTAATAATTGAATTAGAAGTGGCCAGAGGGCCCTGGGTGTCACGGGGCACTGGGACCTTTCGAAGAGAGAGGTCACGGGGGCTGCACAGGACAGCAGTGCTCTTACCCTGCATGTGCACCAGGGCCCCTGGGGTGTGGGTTAAAGTGCAGGCTCTGGACGCCTCCCGCACAGGCCTGGGCTCTCTCAGAACGTGGCTCACGGTGGGGGGTGGCCCCGAATTTTGAAAAGTCACCCAGAAGTTCTCATTTAGGCAGCAGGGCCCCATGCTGTGTATTAACATCTGGGACCCAATAAATGAGGTGATGCCGAGCTACCCAGTGGTCTTAAAGGAAGCACAATCAAATTAATTTTTTGGAAAGTGAAATCTGATGGTCGTCTGGCGCGCCTGGTACTGGTCGGTGCGCCTCGTGGGATCTGCTGAACACGAGGGTCCTGCGTCGGGGCTGGGCCGGGGCCTGGCGCTTCGTTTCTCACGGCCCAGGACCCCATGCGGAGCCGCGAGGAGCTCACGCTCCTCCTGCGTTCTGTTGGTTACCATTCTCTTCTTTCTGTTTCATAGTGTGATTTTGGAGTTCTCCCGGCCTCCTCCCGTCTCCCGGCGCTAATGGAAACCAGCGCTGTCCCTTAAGAGTGCGGCCTGCAGGGGGGGAGAGCAGGGTGTGCGTCCGGCTGTGTGTGCATCTGTGTGTGTGCGGCTGTACGGACCTGTTCAGAGTCTGGTCTGAGAAGGTGTCGAAAGGAGAACATCCCCAACACCGTGGGGATGTGTGTGACAGTCTCCAGCCGTTGCCGTCACAGTCCGTGCTGCCACGGGGTCATCCTGTGACGTGTCATTTGTTCTGAGCAGTCATTTGAGACACCTACACTTTAGTGCCTTGGTTTGTCCTGTGAAAGTAAACTACACCTCTTTTTGAAATCTGTCATCACCCTACTTACATTATTACATTATTAATGTAGCAATAACATTTTAGGTGCTGTTTCTATACTTCTAAAAGCCCTAATATTTGTGGGGCTTCTGGGCAAGCCGGAGGAGGCCGGGGGCCAATGCCCTTGGTGTCCGTCCCGCCCTTGTCCCTGAGGGACTGACTCCCCCCCCCCCCCGCCCCCGCCCCAGGGCTTTCTCCAGGATGGGGCTGCCGGCGCACAGCCTGCAGGCACAGCCTGGAAGGATGGGGAGTTAGTGCCCTGGGGCCACCTCAGCCCTGGGGTGGGCACTGACGCCTCCTCCTGCAGACGGAGCCCCCGGAGCCCAGGGCAGTAACCAGTAACCCGCCGCTGTCTCTCTCCTCCTCACTGCGCTTCCTGAGCTCACTTCTCGGGTAAACCATGGCCAGGCCCTCACCTCAGGGGGACACTGAAACAAACAAGAGGGATCCCTGGCACTTCCTTCCTCGTTCCCAGTGCGTGAAGCTGCGAGGAAACTCGGGTCAGTTTGGGAGTCCGTACTCCAGCCCAGAGATGGCGCTCTCGTCCCCTGTGAGTTGCGGGGAGCGGGGAATTGGCGGGGACAGGGACTGGGCTAGCGACTTACGCTCTGGTCTTGGTCGTCACTCTTCATATGCTGGGCAATAAAGCTGATGCCCTCCAAGGCCTCCTGCACGTCCTGCTGGAAGCTCCTGGAAGGCCTCGGCTGGAAACCCCGGGGCAGGCTGGCCAGGGACTTGGGAGCCGCAGCGGCAGGGTTCACGGAGAACATGGAGCTCCCACAGAGGCTGGCGGTGCTGGCGGCGTCGGACCTGGTCAGGCGAGGCTGGCTGGGCCGGGGGCCCGTCGAGGCGCTGCCGTCCGGGCGCTTCATGAACAGGAAGGTGGGCAGCTGGTGCAGGAAACAGCGGCGGACCCAGGGCGCCATAGTGTGCGTGCTGGGCGAGCGGTGGTGCACGTTGAGCACGCACACGCTGGTGACGATGGAGAAGGTGACCAGCACCATGGTGAACATGAGGTACTTGCCAAAAAGCGGCACGTCCAGCGAAGTGGGCGGCACGATCTTGGAGATGAGCAGCAGGAAGACGGTGAGCGCCAGCAGCACAGAGATGCACAGCGTCATCTTCTCGCCGCAGTCGGACGGCAGGTAGAAGACCAGGATGGCCAGCGAGGTGATGAGCACGCAGGGGATGATGAGGTTGATGGTGTAGAAGAGGGGCTTGCGCTTGATGATGAAGTCGTAGGTCACGTCCACATAGCTGGGGTCCTGTGGGTTCACCGTCCTTCGCCCCGGGAGCGCCACGATGTCCCACTCGCCGCTGGGAGTGAAGTCGTCCAAGCTGGCAGAGAAAAACTAGAGAACCAAGTCGATCTCCGTGAGGTCGTAGGTCCAGGAGCGGAACTTGAGGGTGCAGTTCTGCTGGTCGAAGGGGAAGTGCTTGACCTCGATCTTGCAGGCGCTCTTGTAGATGGCGGGCGGCAGCCAGAAGATGCTGCCGTTGGAGCGGACCACCACGTTGGTGTAGAGAGACACCTCATAGGTCCCGTCAGCACTAGAGGCACGGACAGGAGAACGGTGTGAAGTCCGGAGGCCTGGCCTTTTCTCAGAACTCACCAGGAAGCCCTCAGGATCATTTCTCACTGATCACCCTTCCAGCCTCTGGTGTTCTCGCTGAAAAGGTCAACTTTACAGAGAGCCCTGTCTCCGCCACCAACCCCCCCACCCCCCAGCCTGGGATCTTCACGTGGATGAGCTCAGTAAGCCTCACAGCAGTCAAAGAGGTAGGTTTTACTATTACCCCATTTTACAGATGGGAAAAATGTGGCTCAGGGAAGCTAAGTGAGACTAGCAGCTAGGATGTAAACTCAGGTCTGTTGTCCCCAGACCACGTACGGGTTTCATGCTTCTGCTGGGAACACTGACCTCACATGAATCTTTTGTTTTCTCTATAATATTTGTGCATCGAAAGTCAGTGCTACCAGTGCCCGACACTGACAAAGCAACTGGGCGTCAAAAAGACAGGATGGAGGACAAGAAGGGCACCGGGTCGGGGAGCAGATGCCGCCCCGGCCCCGCTGTGCCTGGGTGAGTGAGCGAGCGAGGCCCTCCCTTCTCTGGGCCTCCAATCCCCACTTGTGACAGAGGGTGCTCATTCTTTTTTTTTTTTTTTTTAATGTTTTATTTATTTTTGAGAGAGAGAGGCAGCATGAGCAGGGGAGGGTCAGAGAGAGAGGGAGACACAGAATCTGAAACAGGCTCCAGGCTCTGAGCTGTCAGCACAGAGCCCGACGCGGGGCTCGAACCCACAAACCGCGGGATCGTGACCTGAGCCAAAGTCAGACGATTAGCCGACTGAGCCCCCCAGGCGCCCCCGAGGGTGCTCATTCTAATTCCTCTTCCAGCCTCACAGCCTAGAGGTGTGAGGGAAGCACACCCGAGGCCCAGGGCTGAGTCAGGACCTGCCGACCCTCAGAGGCTGGGGCTGCGACCACTCACTTGTTATAAAGCACGATGTCAGGCAGCCAGATGCGCTTTGCAGGGATCCTCAGGATGTTCACGCCTTCGTAGCGGGAGCTGTTCCAGGCCAGGCGGTAGTCAGTCCATTCCTGAGCAGACAGGCAAGGCCCTGTCACCTGGAGGCCCACAGCCACCGAGGGGCCGCCCTGGAGGAAACGCCTCCAGGCTGGGAGCCTGCAGGGCACTTACCTGTTTCAGCCAGACATTGGTGGTCATGATCTGTTCCCGCTCATTCTGGGGAGGGAAATGGGGCTATGAGTTCACCAGGTGGGGCCTCACACACGCTCCAGGGTCGTGTGACCCACGCTGACCCACCATCGTCTCTTGGATGGTTCAGAGGTGTTTCACACCCAGCGTGTCTGGGACAAAGCCCGTGACTGTCATCCACAGCTGGTTGTCCACTGGCATTGCCTTCCCCGTGAGCGGCACCCCCGGCCATGCACCCCACAGGCCAGGCTTGTCTGCCGCTTTCCATCTTAGCTGCCGCCATCGTCTGTCACCTGCACTACTGTAGTGGCCTCTGGTCCTCCTCCCCGGCCTGCCTTTAGCCTCTACTCTGGGCGATCCTTTTATTTTTATTTTTATTCTTCTTTAAGTAGGCTTCATGCCCAGCATGGAGCCCCGGAGGGCTTGAACTCATGGCCCCAAGATTAGAACCTGAGCCAAGGCTCCTCTCAACTTCTCAGACTGTGTTGCTCTGCTGACACCCTGCCCTCCCCCCATCCTCGCCCACCTCGCCCAGAGCACAGGCCACCGCCCTGCTCACGCCCCGCCCCCTCCCGCAGCTCTGGAACCTCACGCAGCTCTGGAACCTCACGCCCTCCCATTTGCTCATTCTGCTTCAGCTTAGTTCTCTGCTCCTGCTCTTCCCTCTTTCTGGAAACTCAGGCAGCTACTGTCTTCCCTTTCTTCAGGCCCCGACCTCCCTGCACAACGTAGCGCCTTGTCTCCCCCCCTCTTACCCTGCTTTATTGTTCTCCAGAGCTCTGGGCACCATGTCTGCTGGATGCCATCTTCGTGTGTGTTATCTGCCATAGAACTTAAATTCCTTGAGGGCAGATGGCACCTGGAGGGCTACCTGGGATGTGTCAGATACTCGACCACTGTAATCCATATCTCACCTAAACACCTGCAAGGCCCTCCCACGAGGTCTGTGCCCATGCTGCCCCCACACTGCCAGCGTCTGTTCTCCCAGTGCAGCCAGGTCAACTTCCCCTCAATCCTGTCCCTGCTTGAGTCACTTCTATGGCTTCCTTCACGTACAGAGTAAGAACCTAACTCCTTCACAGGTTCTGCGAGGTCTCGCCGGCTTTCTCAGCCCCATTTCACCTCCCCAGGCCCCTGTATCCTGTGCTCTGCCCACCCCTGGCCTTCCCTCATCCTGTGAATCTGTTTACAGTCTGTACCATTTCCCCAGCCTTCTGTTCACCAGTATAACGTCCAGCACCTTGATCTCAGCTTGGGAGTCAGTTCCACAGGGAGCCCTTCCTGACCCCCACCTGGGTAAGCATATCAGTAGGGTAAGTTTCAGCGGCCACTAACAGAGACCCAGGGTAACACTGGCTTAGAGAAAATGTACAGTTTGGACACACATAGTAGTTTTTGCTCTACAGAATCCTTAGATACCACGATCCTTCCAGCTCTCTTCTCTGTCACACCTAGAGCATAGTCCCAGGGTACCCAGTGCGTGGTCCAGGATGGCTGCTAGAGCTCCAGCCATTGTGTCCACATTCCAGAGGTAGGTGGGAAGACAAAAGAGAAGGATGCAAGCCAGCTGTCTTGTTTTAATTAGAGTATTTAGCCCATTTACATTTAATGTAGTGCTGATTATATTTGGGTTTAAACCTACTATTTCCTGTACATTCCTTTTCTTTTTCTTGCTGTATTTTAATTATTTTATGATGCCATTTTCTCTGTTTAATAACATGACTCTTCTTTTAGTAATTACTCTGGTGACTACAATAAACATAAACCTGATGTGTTAGAATCTAATATAGATTAGTGACTTTACCACTTCCAGAACAGGGGCAAGAACTTTAGAACATTTCAGCTCCACTTGTCCCCTTCTGCCTTGTGGGTTAATGTTGTCATTATTTAATTTCTACATGTAATTACAACCTTGTGAGTTATTGTTTTATATTGTCAATATTAATTTAAATTCACCCATGCATTTGCCCTTTCTGTTGAACTGTTTCTTTCGTACATTTCTATGTTTCCTTCTGTGGTCACTTTCCTTTATGGTTAATGCACATCCTTTGTATTGGGTCTTCTTATGTTAAGTTCTCTATTTTTGGTCTGAAACATCTTTACTTAACTTCTGTTTTCGAAGTGTATTCTTACTGGGTATCCACTTCTGGACTTGCAGTTTTTTTCTTGCAACACTTTAAAAGTGCCATGCAGTATCCTGGCCTCCATTTTCATCTGCTGGTGTTATTACTGCCGCCACTGGACCACTTTTGTTACGTTTTTCTCTTTGTCTTTGCTTGTTGGGGGTTTGATAAAGATGAATCTGGGTATGATTTTCTTTGTATTTATCCCTCATTGGGTTCGTAGAGACTCTTGAATCTGTGGCTTCATATGAGTCTTTGGCCAGTTTTGGAAACTTCTGCCAGTATCACTCACACACTGCTTCTGTCTTGTTCTTTATTTTTACTTCTCCTGTAACTCCAAATACACATGATAGAACTGACCTTTTTGTCACATACTATATTATTTTTTTACCGTATTTCCATCCTTTTATCTGTCATTTGTGGAGATATTTGCTATTTACCTCTCCTCCAGTTCATTAACCTTCCCTTGTGCTCTGACCAGTCTGCTATTAGACCCATCCCGTGGGGGCACCTGGCTCTCAGTCAGTGGAGCCTGTGACTCCTGATCTTGGGGCTGTAAGTTTGAGCCCCACATTGGGTGTAGATATTACTTAAAAATAACAAAATATTTAAGGAAAAAACCATCTAATGAATTTTAAATTCTCCATATTATAATTTTCTTATATGATGTATAAATGACTGTTATTTTCCTTTTAAGAATATTTACTTAGAAAAATTTATCTATTATTAAATTTCCTTATTATTTATTTATTTTTAATAGTGGTAAAATGCACATAACATAAAATTTGCCATGCTAATGGCAGCTGTTTTAAAGTCTATGCCTGATCAGTCCAATATCTGAATTGTCTGTGTGTGTGCTTCCATTATTTTCTTTTTTCTGTCTTTTCTTATTTCATCTTGTGTTTTTGTGTGCCTCATAAATTTTTATCTGACTTTATATGCCTCCAGGGAGTACTTACTTTGGCTACTGGCAGGCAGTTGCAGGAGAGGTAGATCAACTTAATCTAGTTTGTGACTGAGCTGGTTCAAAGCAGGTTTAGTTTTTGCGAGGTCTGGCCTATTTTTTATTCATTTTCACTCTTATGGGTGGTCTTTTCAGGGTCTCCACCAAGGCCCCATCTCCCCGTCTCGTGGGGCTCAGACTCTGGCATGTGTCCCCCAGCCCTGTGAGAGCACCAGACATTCAGCTCGGCTTCCAGCCTCTTAGCCCCTCAGCCCTGAACTGTTTCCCAGTCTTCCTGTGTGGGGAAAAGTACCGGAGGCCAGAGGGTCACCTCCCAGAACCTGGTCCCTCGAGTCCTGGCTAAGCTCTCAAGAACTTCAGGCAGAGAGTTTTGGAGAGGGAGGCATTTCTGTGCAGCTTTTCTAGTTGTTCTCATGGACAAGGTAGTCTGCAACAAGCTACTCTCCCATTACTGCATGGTGAACACCTCCCTCTGTCTTTTAAAACATTTCTTTTTGAAGTTGAGGCGGAATTTACACACGGTGAAATGCATAGGTCTTAAGTGTACAGTTTCATCAATTTTAACAAACATATTACCCACGCCTCCCTTCTCCTTTCAATATCTATCACTCAGAAAGTTGTCTTGGACCTCTTCCTGTCCCTCACTCCCGAGGACACCAGCTCAAGACCCTGGTTGCCCCAGGGAGCTGCTTCTGAGGACCTGCCCGCTGCACCCAGCACATGCTCCTTGCTTTCTCCCTGGAAGCTGCCATCTTTAAACTGGTCATACCCATAACACTCCCTCCTTGAAAACTAGACCCTGGAATACAGAAGGTAAAACACCTAGAACTGAATATTTGTTCTACACACAGCTTTCGGGGTGATAACGGCACACGGGGACACTCACAGGCACAGGGCTGGAGGCTGTGTCCCCTCCTTCCGGTAACTTCTGTTATGTCACAGGGCCCACAGAGTAGGTCTGGCAGGTGCAGCCTTAGCCTGGAAGTGTGTCAAGAGCCACCTGCCTGCTTCCCCTCACCAGGCAGCGGCTACAAGGTGGCAGCTGGGTTCACCCCATTAGGCAAAAAGCTCCGGGCTGGATAGTAACACAGACGCCAGCCTGGGCCTGGCCTGAAGCACTTATTCTTTCCGGTCGGCCTGCAGAGGGAAGAGGGACAGAGAGCATAGGCTTTCTGTCCCTCCCCCATTCTCGGGCTGTGCTTCCTCCCAGGGCTCTGTGTGTAAGGGCTGGGTTTGTGGGGGCCCGTTGTGCTAAGGAGAGAGGAGAAAAGGCAGTCACCTGTCCCCAGGAGGTTCAGCCCCCTTAATTAATTCCTTCCCATGACCCGACACGGCACCTTACAGTGCTCCCCTCAGAGCTACTGCCGGGGACCGATTCCAACCCCATGGGTGGGGACGTGGGAAGGGCCACACAGTAGACCGTGGTTCCTTCGGACACCCCCAACTCAGAGACCAGGAGGGAGAAGGGGAGCCCCCTGGTCCCTCAGCCTCCTCAGCACCCCAACGCCTGCCCCATATCCACACGTCAGGAGCTGACAACCTTACTTGTGAACTCTGCAACCCGTTCCTCCTTCCCAGGCCTGCACAGCTGCCCTCATTTGTCCAGGCTCCGCCCACTTGGCTGGGCCCCGCACCTGGGCCTCTGCACCTGGGAGTTCCCACAGCCCAGCTCCTACCTCCCCCAACAAGTGGGGGAGTGTGAGGTCACCGTTGAACAGGCTGGGGGGTAGAGCTTTGAGGACAGGGAGGAGTTAATGGCCATGCGGAGGCTCACCTGCTAGCGGCGGCCCGCTGGCTGTCTGCCAGTCGTCACTCCCCTTTCACATCTTCTTTGTTAACAAAACAAAGACTTTGCTAGATGTTGGACGCTCATGAACTTCATGGACCCTTCCCCTGCCTCCCTGCTGTATATCCACAGTCTTAGCAACTCTGCGTAAGGCCCCGGCATGAGCTGGAGCCCCAGGTGCCTACGAGGCAGGTCTCTGGGACCGTTTTCCTCAGACTGAAAGTGACACCCAGGAAAGGATCTGCCAGCTCCAGCCACGAAGCTACGGTGTGAGGATCTTACGTTTGGAGCGGTGGCCACCATCTTATGATCGTGGGGCAGAAAAGGAATTGCAGAATCCTGCAGCTTGGATTCTAACACGGACTCTGAAACCATCGGCCCCTCTCTTGTTGGGTTGTCCTCACTGTTTCAGCCCCTTGTACTCGGTGTCCTGTGACTGGGGCGTGAAAGCACTGTAATCGACATGGAGACTAGGGCTAGCAGGCGGCTCCAGCCGTGGACCAGTGTGTGCACATGGGCAGGGCACGCCCAGCAGAGAGAACACACACAAAGGCACAGACTGGGACAAAAGAATCACCACTTAGAGGCAGTCCAGTTTAGGCAGATTCCTTAATTGATGCATATGGGATAGGAGCAGATGAATAATCTGACCTTGTCTGCGAGTCTGGGAAAGCTAGAGGTGAAACCCGCTGCCCGGCACCCTCCCAGCCCCGCGCCTTTGGGCTGGGCTTGGCACTTCCCGCCCCGTGCCTGGAGCCGGGGCTGTGGAGCCAGCCCTGTGGGCACCTACCACACTGATGAGCTGGGCCAGGGAAAGCTGGAGCTGGATGGAGATGAGCTGGGTGGAGCTGGTGGCTGGGCGGATCAGGTTATTGTAGCGGGTTTTGTTCAGAAGGTCATCGACAAGCTTCTCCTCTGCATTGGCCACGCGGCAGTCCCCTGGGAAGACACACAGTCAGAGTTGCTGGGCCCTGATCGCGCTGATGCCGGTCCTGGTGGTGAAGGGGACAGCTCCGGGCCAGGGCGTGCAGGTGCCCTCGGGGCTGGCCGAAGCAGTAAGGTGCTCAGGACCACCCCTCCATGGGACCCTGTACGTCCAAGGCAGAGCTCAGCTTTGTCCTCCATGAGCAGCCTCTTCCTCCCCCTCTTCCCTCTGGGATGAATGGCAGCCCACACTCAGATGGTCAGTCCAGAAACTGGGTGCCTGCAAGTGTCCTCTGTGTTCCAAGTCCCTCCACCCGTCCTCTCTGCCCACCCCTCCAGCCCTGGTCCTGGCACACCGCCCTGCCCCCTCTCTTCCCATGACCCCCTGGCCGGTGTCCCTGCCACCAGCGACCACGCAGTGTGAGAGTGATTTTCCTGCCGCACTGGGGCCTTCCCCACCTGCAGCCTTTCAGAGCCGAAGGCAGAGTGCAGGCCCAAGTGTGTCAGCTTGGCACGCAAAGCCCTGTTCCCCTGGCACCAGCCTCCCCCCCTCAACCTGATCTTTCCTCACGTCTCCACCCAGACACTCTGCACTCCAGCCATACCCTCCGTGCTCTTTTCCCCACCAATATTCAGTGTTTCCCTTCTGAGTCTGTGAGCACAGTCTTCTGCCAGCATGGCCTCCAGGCCACCAGCCATCCAGTGTCCAACTGTCTTGTGCCAGGTACCATGTTACATGCCTCAGATAATAGCAAGCAGAAAACCAGAAATGACTCCTGCCTCAGCGCTTCCAGTGCAGTGGGAGAGAGATGTTTCTATGGGTTCTGTGTGCAGAGTGCGTGGATGGTGGTGCCTTCACGAGGAGAGAACAGGAATGACTACAGGAAACTTCCTGAGTTCAGTCAGACCTTCAGGGTGCAAAGTGCCTTTGAAACAGCAAATGTCGGGGTCCCCTTGGCTCCTGGTCTGGAGCTTAAAGGAGAGGGCTGGGCCCAGAGCCATAATGAAGACCCAGGGAGTGCAGTCTCCTGAGTCCTGCAGGAAGCCTGGTCTACCCATGGGCCCTCCAACCCCCCACAGCCCTCGATCTCTTGCCAAGTGGTATGTGGGTCTTTGTCCCAATTCCTTCACACATCTGGGAGTGAAGCTAAGGTTCAACGACTTGGTCTTGTTTATCCTGACGAGTCTTCTGGGAGAATGTGTCAGCAATGGGCAGAGGTGGGGGTGGTGCCTTGGAAAGAGACTCAGGAAGGTCAAGGACATGTGAGCAGGAGAGCAGCAGGGAAGGAGGAGGAGTTGTGCAGAGGAAGTGGGGGGGGGGTCAGGGCAGGGGGGAGGAGGACTGGGAAATGGGGAGGCTAAGGAGGTGGGGGTGGGGGTGAGGCTGCCAGCAGAGGCTGGGTCTCAGGCTTGGGATTCCGCTTACATCCTTCTCTGAAGGGCCTGCACACTTTTTGCCACATCCCTCCCTCTGGGTGGAGCCAGTGGCCCAGGGTGTGAATCGCCCACTAACAAGTCTGGGGTGGATTCCTGGGTGGGTGCTGGGCTGGACACATGGCCTGGGGAGCGGCCGCCACTCCAGTCTGCTCTGTGCACTTTCCAACTCGCTGCCTATCTGGAGCAGATGCAATATTTAGTGCCTTGTGAAAGATGCTCCCGGGTGCACCTGCTGTCCCTCCCCCAGACTGCCTGGGGCTGTCCGGAGGGGGTCCTCCGGATGCTTGGCCTAGATTCTGAGCTCTGCCTCTCAAACCCTTGACCCCTCCCAGAAGCCAGCTGTTTGAATACCCTGGAAGCCAGTCTGTAGCCCCAGGCTAAAGCTGTGTCCTTCCCAGAGCCCCTCTTTAGTATGTGTATTTGGGCTGACCTGTCATTTCAGAAAGCGGAGGCGTATCACTTGCTCAAGCCCATCTGGCATTTCTGAGGCAGTTCTGGGGTCAGAATCTGCAGCTCCGGGTCCACCAGGCCCCTGACAGGCCAGGGCTGCTCCGCGGGCTGTGGGGCTTGTCTTCCAGCTCTGAGCCCAGCTGGGACATTCCGGCTGTTTCCCTTTGGGGCTATGCTGCCTCCTGGGCATTCAGCTGGCCTGAAAGACCCTCCCCTCCCTTGAGGATGGGCTAAAGGTTTAAAAACCTTAGGCCATTTAGTCCAATTCCCTGGTTCTCAGCCGGGGACACTAAGACCACAGCGGGGAAGCCCCAGCAGATCAGAGGCAGAGCCAGGTCTCAGAGCCATTTTCAGAGAAGGGGGCCTCCCTGCCCCCAGTGCCTTCTTTCCTGCCCTCACTAACTTCCCCTAAAGGAGACAGCCCCTGCAGAGACCCTATTGGTAACCAAAGCCGAGTGTGTGTTCATGTCCACGCCTGTGTTTGCATTTGTATGTGTGAGTGTGTAGGAGTGGGCTGGAATGTATTCCCCAAAAGTCTGGGAGCCCAGAACAACACATATTTAGATTTTCCACCGTTATTTCTCTCTGTGAGGCCTAGTGGGTTCAAAGACCTCTCACCCCTACATGACAGTGGTGGTCCAGGATGAGTGGAAGCCTCCAGGGCACTATTGGGGGTCACCTCCCAGCCCTGGGGCCTTACCCGGTTAAACAGAAAAGCTACCACTAGGGGTCGCTCATGACCCTGTGATTCTGATGAGTGAGGGCCTGACCTGTCTCTGTCCAGGACCTGGCCTTCCTAGGCCTTCCCTGGAAACACTGCTCCAGAGCAGGAAGGGACTTAAAGTCTGAGAGGAAGCCATAGCTAGAATGCCAGAGTGTGCTGAATGTGTATACAGGTCGAAAAAACATGATCTTAAAATCTAATATAGGAAAACTGAGAAGATAACACCTATTGCTTGGGTACAAACTAGGGAAGAAAAGAGCAACAGCATATCCTTGGCAAGTTGGCATCCAAAAGGCAGAGTGATTTTCAGTTTGGGGTGTGGGGCCTTAAGTGAGGAAAGGAACAAGGAGATTTGTATTTTTAAAACGTAGCTGTAGATTTTTTTAAAAAGGTTGAAGTTTTTACCTTTTACAAAAAGCTCACCATATATTATCAGTAGCTTCTCCAGTCGTGTAAGAATCACCTGGACGCTGGTATAAAGGAAGGTTCCCTGCCTCCATTTACAGGGATTCTGATGCTGTGAGGCTAGGGTGGGGCCAAGAATCTGTACTGGGTGATTCTGACGCAGGTGGCCCCAGGACCATGCTTAAGAAGCACTGCAGCTGACTCACATCTTGAGTCCTCAAGTATGTAGACAAGGTGTCTCATCCCTGTAGAACACATGAGGAAACTGAGGCCCAGAGAAGGGAAAGGAATGGCATGGGATCACCCAGTACACACTGAGTGGGGACACCGTCTGGTGAGTGTGGTGTGTGGGTCCTCGTCTTCTAAGCTAACTAGGGCTCAGAGGACAAGCCTGGGGAGGGGGCAGTAAGGAGCTGGAAGAGTCCTTAGAACTCAGGTGGGGAAACTGAGGCCCAGAGAAGGCAATCCAAATCCCATCTGGACCCTGCCTGGGAATGGCTGATGGGGTCTCCCTTTCAAGCGTCAGAGACTGGGGAGGGTCCGCTTTGCCAACCTGACCCAGCCTGGCCCTGTCCCATCCAAGCCAGCCTGGCCCCAACGTGTTGACCAGAGACAGTGACGTCTGAAAAGTGTGTTTCTTAGGAGACTCGTCCCCCCAACTGCGAAACATTCCAAGTCTGGAGAGTTGGGCAAGTCCCTTCCTCTCTGGGCTGAGTTTCCCTAACGGCAGGGAGCCCCCTCTCAGCGCCCAGCATCAGGGTGAGCTCTCTGGCGTCTACACCCGGCAGGCGACGAGCCTGTAGGGATCTGAAATCGGTGGCCCGCAGCCTCCCTTCGCGGTGGTGCAGAGCCGGTGCCACTCGGCCCTGGCTCGGCCCAAGGTGCGCGCCGCGGTGGCTGCGCGGGCAGGTGCGCGGGGGGCGGCAGTCCCCGCCCCAAACCCCGCAGACCCGGCGCCGGGCCCGCCGCCGAGGCCTTGGCCCGGGGCTCAGCCGCTCCCATCCCGCCGGGACAACCTCGGGCCGCTCCCGCGGGCGCCGGCGCCCTCCCCTGCCTCCCACCTGTGGCCGTTGGACCCGGGCGCCCCTCCCTCCCTTCCCGAAAAAGTACTCACCGCGCCGGCAAAAGGCAACCAGGGAGAAGAGGACCAGGGGCTGCGCACTCCTCATGGCGGGCGGGGGCCGGAGAGGCAGCCGCGCGAGCGCAGCCGTGGGACCACCGGGCGCCGGCGAGCCGCGAGCGGGCGAGGGAGCGCAGGTGCCGGCCTCGGAGTCTCCGGAGCCGCCGCCGGGCACTAGGACCCAGCGGAGAGCCCGGCGGGCCCCGCCCACTCGGGGGCGGGGCCGGCTCGGGCGGCGCCCTGGGGCCGCGGGGGGCCGCCCCCCCCGCGCCGCTCGGCCCCCGCAGCCCGACGGTCCCTCCCCTCGTACTGCGGGGAGACGAGGGGGCGGTCGCGCGGGGCCCCAGCGGTGTCGCGGAACGTGGTTGTGGTCCAGGGGGTCCTACCCCTGGGGTCTGCCGAAAGGAGGGGGCGTCGCGGGGAGCGGAGACTGAGCCTGCTCGAGCGGGGCTCCGTTCTCCGCAGGCGAGGTGGGCGCCCAGGAAGTGTGTGGCGCTGCGGCGGGTGAAACAGCCCGGGGAGCTGGGAGAGCCCGCGGCGGCTGCACGCGTCCCGCCCTCCCCGCCCTCCTCGGCCTTGCAGCCGGGGCTGGAGGAGGCAGCTGCGGGGACTGCAGGGAGCAAGCACCCCCTCCAGCCCGGCGGCCTCACCGGGGGTTGGGGTGCTGCTGTTTCCCGGGGTTCGGGACCGCGGGACGGACACGAGCACCAGGGCAGCCCCACCTCCGGACTCGGCCAGAACGCGCGCCCGAGTCCGGGTCTAAAAGGGCCTCTGCCCACACCCGGCGGTCCTCAGTTCTCATCACGCAAGAGAGGGGAGGGGGTGATGGGCACGGAGGAGGGCACTTGTGGGGAGGAGCCGGGTGTTCTATGGAACCAACGTGACAATAAACTACTTAAAATAAAATAAAATAAAATAGCCTCTGGTGATTCCCGTAGCCCGGGGCACGCCCTGGTCCCCAGCCCTCCACCTGCCCTGTCCGGGTCCGCACAGGCCAATGGAACAATCGTGGGAACCAGGCGGAAGGGCAGGGTCTGGGGGACTGATCACCTAAAAAAGGCAGCTTTGCCACCTTCTCTCCAGGGTGCCCAGTCTAGCTTTCATATTGCTTATCCCAGCGTCACTTTGCTACAATCTGACGTGTTGACATATGGTCTTTCAAAAAGGACACCACTGAAATGTAGTTGACTTTCCCTTTGAGCTGGTTAGGAGAATTTATGTTTGAGTGTGTCCACTCTTCTCTAAATTTTTTTTTTATGTCTTTATTTTGAGAGACAGAGAGCGAGCGGGGGAGGGGCAGAGAGAGGGAGACACAGAATCTGAAGCAGCTCCAGGCTCCGAGCTGTCAGCACAGAGTCTGACCCGGGACTCGAACTAAGGGACTGTGAGATCATGACCTGAGCCGAAGTCGGACGCTCAACCGACTGAGCCACCCAGGTGCCCCTGTCCACTCTTCTCTAAACTACAACAATAAATAAGTGAAATATATAAAGCAAATTAAAAAGTCATAGCGAGGGTGAAAAATAAGATCTCCATGAACTAAAATCAGAAAAGAAATGCAGATGGTGGGGAGCTGAAGCCTGGAGCCTGCTGGGCTCTGGAAGCCAAAGACAGTGGCAGGTCCTTTGGGATAAAAGGGGACTAAAAGACTCTGGACTAGAGGCTGGGGGGTTGCATGTACCTCATTCCCTGAAAGGATGCTGGGAGGGAAATCCTGCTGCTGATTTATTGTGTGAAGTCCTAGCTTTATAGGATGCATGATTTCCCCAATACACTACAGGATGGGAGCTTAAAAATACCCTAAAGACGGGGCGCCTGGGTGGCTAAGTCTGTTAAGCGTCCGACTTTCGCTTAGGTCGTGATCTCGCGGTTGGTGGGTTCGAGCCGCGCGTCGGGCTTTGTGCTGGCTGCCAGCTCAGAGCCTGGAGCCTCTTTCAGAGTCTGTGTGTTCCTCTCTCTGACCCTCCCCTGCTCACGCTGTCTCTCTCTCTCTCTCCTAGAAATAAATAAAAATATTTAAAAAAAAAAATACCCTAAAGCCTGGAGGGAGCTGCAAAACTAAGTTAGATGAGCAAAGGTGAGAGGGTAGGAGGATAGAGAAGCAGAGAATATAACATCCATTCAGTACAGCCTACACTTGTGCCAGAAAGTAAGGGAAGGGCTCAGAGAATGATGGGAACATGTCACAGAAGCCGAAGGGGATCCACCAACCAAATCAGAGACAATTTAAGCATAAAAGTAAATAATGATAGTGATGAATACTCATTGAATAAAATAAGTTATAAGCATATATCAACTAAATAAATGATTGGAAGTTTGATAAGAAATAAGATACTTACATAGTTTCAAGGTAGCTCCTCATGAAATAGTTAATTGTAAGGGGGAAGGGAGTTGATGCTGCAGGGGAGAAAGCTGGCAGATACCATCTGTGGCAGGCTGAATAATGACCCCAAAGGTGTCCACTTTCTAATCCCAGAACCTGTGAATATTACCTTATGTAGTGAAAGGGACTTTGCAGTAGGGATTAAATGATCTTGGGATTAGTAAATACTCCTGGTGGTCGTGATGTGGTCACAAGGGTCCTTATAAAGGGAGGCAGGGGACCTGAGTGAAGCAATGTGATGTTAAGAGGAAGCAGTGGTTGCAGTGAGGTGGCTGTGAACCAAGCAATGCCAGGGCAGCCTCCAGAAGCCGGAAGAGGCAAGGGACAGATTCGCCTTCTGAACCTTCAGAAGGAGCCAATCCTGCCAGTACATTGATTTGATCTCCGTAAAACTGGTTTTAGACTTCTAACTTCTAGACCTAAAAGAGAAAAAAGCTTATGTTGTTTCAAGCCACTACATTTGCAGTAATTTGTTAGAGCATCAGTAGGAAAGTAGTATTCCACCCCACCCAAGTGATCAAGGTCAACATCACCGGTAACGGGGTGAATAAGAATTGTGTACCACCTGATGGGATGCACTAGGAAGAATACAGAATCCCTTCTGTGCTATTCCTGCCAAAGATATATGACTTGAACCTAGTCATAAGGATGCACCAGACAAACCGAGATTAAGGGGCATTCTATAAAATACCTGGTCTGTTATCTTTAAAAATGTTAGCAAAGTCAAGAAAAGACTAAAGAGACATTATAACTAAATGCAATACATCATTCTAGGGCACCTGGGTGGCTCAGTTGGTTAAGCGTCTGGCTTTAGCTCAGGCCGTGATCTCGTGGTTTGTGAGTTTGAGCCCCACGTCCGGCTCTGTGCTGACAGAGGATCCTCAGTTCCCCTTTTCTCTCTGCCCCTCTCTGCTTGCTCTTTCTTTAAAATAAATAGGCTTTAAATGCAACACATGATTCTGAAATGGATTATTTTGCTGCTGTACAGGACATCACTGGGACAATGGCGTATATTGATGTTAATATATGGTAGTAATATATGGATGTTAATTTCTTGATATCGATGGCTGTATTTTGGGTGTGTAGGAGAATATCTTTGTGGATAACACACACAGAAGTATTCAGAAATGATGGGGGGTGGGTTGTAATAATGCAGGAGGAAAAAGTTCTTTGTATGGTACTTGCAACTTTTCTGTACATTTGAGATAAAAAAAGAGCGTACAAACCAAGATTTGAAAACTTATGAAACAATTAAAGACTAAGAAAAATACCCAACAAATGAAGAAATTAGCAAATTCATCCCGGACAAAAACAATTTTTATCAAAGCCTGGGAAATATTTTTTAAAAAGAAAAGAAAAAGCGAAAAAGCCCTGCAGCCTGTTTGTGGAGGATGTAGTATAATCATGGTACTGACTGGGGCACAGACAGAGAAAAGAGAAGACTTGGAATTACAGGTCTTTGCCACAGGGAGATGGTGGGGAACAGTGGTTAGTGCACGGCTACTGAGCCAGGCAGTCTGGATTTATATTTGGTGTCACTCCTGATATTCTCCATGACCTTGGGGAAGTGACTTGACTTCTCTGTGTCCCGGTTCTCTCATATTTCAAAGGCGGAAATAACCTTCCCAATAAACTTTCTAGAATGAAATGAAATAATGAAAAACGCCTTAATGGTGCGTAGAACATATGAAGCACCTAATAAATGTTAGCTGCTATTACCCATTATGAATTCAAAAACTCTAATAAAATACAGCAATGTACACACAAGAAATATTGCATCATGGCAAAGTAGGGTTTATTGCAAGAATACAAGAGTGAGTCAACATCAGATAATTCACTAATGTAATTTACAACCCTAACAGATTTTTACTCATTCAGTGCAAACTATTAGCAAGCCAGCTTCCTTAACCTAATAAACATGCAGAAACGATCGTACTTCATGGTAAAACTTTTAGAAGCGATTTTCATCAAAGTCAGGACTTAGGCAGGGTGCTTTCTATCGTGGTTTCTATTCAGCATTGCACTGGAAATCCTAGGGAATGTGTTAGGTTAAATTATATGATATTGATATTGCTTTAGATCACAGGCTGCCCAACATCAATAATTTATAGATTTAATCTGTAATAGGAAGAAATAAAAGAAATAAAACTTAGGAATTGGAAAAGAAAGTTATCCCTATTTGCAGACAATATGTTTGTCTATGTAGAAAATCCAAGAGAATATTCCGATAAATTATTTGGATTAGTAGGAGAGTAGCATTGCTGAATTCAAGGTCAGCTAGCACTCATATACATGAGGAATAGCAAATCAGGAAGTGCAATAGAAAAATAGATTCTAAATGGCACAAAAACCTGAGAGTACATCTAGGAAAAGATATACAAGGCTGTACGTGAAGAATATGATAAAAACCACTCCAGGTCTTACAGGAAGAACTGACTGAATAGAAATATACATATTTATGAATGGTAGGACTAGAATTATAAATCTATCACTTCTCACCAACTTATAAATTTGATGCGATTCTCACACTAATCCAGATAGAATTCTTCATGGAACTTAGGCTGATTGCAAGATCCATGCAGAAGTTGAGGCACCAGGAATAACGTAGCAGACACCAGCAGACACTCGCTCGCACCCATCACATCAGCAACCTCATGCTTGCCAGGGAGTGGAGGGGCCTCGGCGTATTAATCGTGCCTCATTACTTTCTGTATTTTCTGATGTCTTGACACCTGGGGCCTTGCTGGTCCTGGAGAGCCTACCCCTCCCACCGTTAGCCGGTTCCTAGAGCTTGTACAGGGCTCACGTGTGAGAGTAGCTTTCATGTGCAGAAGCCCAAACCCCTCAGCCACTTACCAGGCCCTTATATTCCAGCCACCCTCTTACTGCTGTAATCACCCCATGGCCAAGAACTAGACAGTGGCAGACAGCTGCCAAGTTCCACTGAAGTTATTCAAGCCAACCCATCCTAAGCTTACTTACCATGCCTTGCTTTTCCTTTCCTGCAGAAACCACCGTCAAGGCTCATGACCATGTTTCCGCTTACTCGGTCTGCCTCCGCCCTGCCCCTGGTGCCACGCAGGCCTGCACAGCATGCCATGCTTCCTGTTTCGTGGGATTTGTGCATGTAGCAGCTTCTTCCTCTGTGACAGTCATTTCTGTGTGTGTCCTAGCACACCTGACTAAAAGGTCCTGGGTACGTTTTAAAATAACAAGTAATGGGAGTTAGTAGATACTGCAGCTTCTTTGTCCCTCAGCTGGAATAATTTCAAGGTGCCCAGTGAGACTGAATTCCGCTCACCCTCCATTTAGCTAAATAACACACCCTCTATAGGCTTTATTCCCTCATGGTCTCACTTCCCCACCTTCTTATGTGTCCATCTAGATCACTTTCTACAGAAAATACTTGCATCCAAATCTTTGTCTCCGGCTCAGCATCTAGAGGAACCCAAATGAATCCATTTTTAAGGAATAGAGGCGACATGGGGTAATGAAGCTTATTAAGACGTAGTTATATTTAGATACAATGTCATAGAAGTGAAGACAGTGAAGTGTTGTCAAGGGGATGAACAAATAGACCATGGAAAGAGAATGAGAACCCAGCAATGGACCCAGGACAGGTGGACGCTTCAAGTGGACAGGGGTTGCATTGTAGGTTGCGTTGTAGGTCAGTGGGGAAAGGATAGAATGGTCGTGAATAGTGTTGGGACAGGCTATTATCCATATGAAAAGCAAATACAGTTAGATCCCTAGCTCACCTCATATCAAAGATAACTGGTCAGGCTGATTAAAGATCTAGTTTTGAAATGAAAACCTTTAAAAACTTTTAGAAGGAAACGGGGCTATCAGGATGATGGAGGTAGTGTCTGCTCTCGGCTCCTGTAACAGAATAGTTAGACTGAGTGGCATAGATGAACGTTTATTCCTCACTGTTCTAGAGGCCGAGCATCTGATATCATGGTGCATGCCTGGAAGGGTTCTTTGTGGGAGGCCTTCTCCACAGTTGCTCACCTTCTCTTACGTCCTCACATGGTGGGGAGCAGAGAAAGAGAGAAAGCACTCTCGTGTCTGTTAGACAGGTCCCATTCAGGAGGGCCCTACGCTCAGGACCTTGTCACCTCCTAAAGGCCCCCCTCCTGATACCATCACAGCGGGGGTTAGGATTTCTACACAAGAATTTTCAGGGGACGCAAGCATTCAGTCCGTAATAGGCAGAAAGCAGTATCTTATACAAAATACTAGAAACAGAAGAAAAATGTGAGATTCAACTTCACTAAACTATTTGAACTTCTATCCAACCATACATACGACAAGTTCCGTTTAGAGAAAAACCACAGCCTGGGAGAAGAGCTTCGCAAATCATATGATCAATGAAGGATACACTCCAGAATATTTAAGGAATTCCTATATACATCAATATTTTCAAAAGTCAACCAACCAGAAAGAAAAATGGGCAAATGCCATGTGATTCACAGAACAGGAATATGTTCAGGAAAATATGTTCAGCCTCAACAGGAACAATGAGATACCATTTTGTATTATTTTGCAAGTCCCTTATGGGCAAGCACCAGCAGGGATGTGGGAACGCTCATAACCCGCTGCTGGGGCGGTAAGCTGGCAGAAACCAACATCAGAGAAGCTGTGCCCGGTGCCCAGCCCTTCCACTTCCGGGTGTGTACCCACATGTTTACACAATGATGCCCATGGTCCTGTGTGTGATGGTGAAAAGTCGGGAACAGCTGGAATGTTCACTGTAGGAACATGGAGGAAGGAGCGATGGGATTTTCACACGATAGAATAGGATCTTGAGCCCATGCTGGCCCGTTGCCTTGTTTGGCTCAGGCCAGAGCTGAGAAGAATGGGTTTTACATTATTAAAGGGCTGTAAAAATCAGTATAACAATACAACCAAAACAAAGAATATGCAACAGAGACCAAATGTAGTAAAGCCTAAAATACTTACCATCTACCTTTCTACAAAATGTTTGCTGATTCCTGATCTAGAGTTATGTTCCTTTTGAAAATTTTATTAGAGAGAGAGAGAGAGAGAGAGAGAGAGCTGGGGAAAGGGGCAGGGAGAGAGAGAGAATTCTTTTTTTTTTTTATTTCTTTTTTTAAAATTTATTTCTGAGAGAGAGAGAGAGAGAGAGAGACAGCTTGAGCAGCGGAGGGTCAGAGAAAGAGGGAGACACAGAATCCGAAGCAGCTCCAGGCTCTGAGCTGTCAGCACAGAGCCCAACGTGGGGCTTGAACCCACGGACCATGAGATCATGACCTGAGCTGAAGTCAGACCTTAACTGACTGAGCCACCCAGGCGCCCCAAGAGAGAGAATTCTTTTTTTTTTTCTTTTTTTTTTTTTTTTTTACAAATAGTTTATTGTCAAGTTGGTTTCCATATAACACCCAGTGCTCATCTCCACAAGTGCCCTCCTCCATGTCAGAGAGAGAATTCTTGACATAGGGTTCCATCTCACAACCCTGAGATCATGACCGGAGGCTAAATCAAGAGTCAGATGCATGTTGGGCTGAGCCCCCATGTACAGAATTCTTGAATCACTGTATTGTACACCTGAAAATAACAGAACACTGTATGTTAACTATATTGGAATTATTTTTTTAATTTTTAATTTGTTTTTATTACTTATTTTTTAAAAAAAATTTTTTTAATGTTTTATTTATTTCTAGGAGAGAGAGAGAGAGACAGTGTGAGCAGGGGAGGGTCAGAGAGAGAGGGAGTCACAGACTGAAACAGGCTCCAGGCTCCGAGCTACCTGTCAGCACAGAGCCCGACGTGGGGCTCGAACCCACGAACCGCAAGATCATGACCTGAGCGAAAGTCGGACGCTTAACCGACTAAACCACCCAGGGGCCCCTGTTTTTATTATTTATTTTTGAGAGAGAGAGACAGACAGACAGAATCTGAAGCAGGCTCCAGGCTCTGAGCTGTCACCACGTGGGCCTCGAACCCATGTCCCATGAGATCATGATCTGAGCTGAAGTCAGACACTTAACTGACTGAGCCACCCAGGCGCCCCAGAATTAAAAAATTTTTGAATATAAAAAAGAAAATACTTTATCACTCGAAAAAAGAAAAGAAGTTCTAAAGCAAATATGGCTAAATGTTGCTAAATTCTGATAAAGCCAGATAGTGGTACCCAGGTGTTCACGATAGAATTTCCTGCAGAGTTATGTGTACCTGAGGTCTTTTGTGAGAAGGGTGACTTTTGGTGAGCGGGCCCAGGAGGGTGATGACTGCGGACACGGGCAGCGCTCCTGCTCAGCGCCTGGCCCCTCAGACGGCCTGGCCCCAGCTGCAGGCTGAGCAGTCATCTGCGGTCCAGACAGACAGGCTGATGGCCCAGGCCAGGACTCTGCCCACGACTGCCACGTGCTCCCTCTGCAGTCGCCTTGGCAGCGGGTGAGGTTGAGTGGCACAGCTGAGGCCCGGCTGCAGAGGCTGTGGCCGGAGAGACAGCGTAGCCGCATGGGACCTGCCCCAACCTGTAGCAGGACCCAGGGCTGGGTGCTACGTCTGCAGTGACACGGTGGATTTTGTGGCCTGCATGGACCCATCCAGCTGACTTTTCCTGGGTCTGGGGTTGGTCCCGAGGCCTGCGGCTGCTGGTGTGGACTCTGGCCCCAGGTGGTCGTGCTGAGCTGGTTGGGCTCCCAATCCCTGCCTTTTCCCACCCATCCTGAACCGCATTTCCCATCAGTGCCGGTCCCTGTGTGGAGGGGCCTTCCCTTCTTATGGAGAAAGAAACACTGCGCACAAGCATTCAGACACAGAACACCTGCACACGCCCGCCTGCACACACGCATGTCAGCACACACTCACGCATGCACATGCACTTCCACACATGCACACGCGCACACGTGTTCTTGGGTACCATTCACCAAGAGGCCTGCTCTCCCTTCCCCGCTCCGAGGAGAGCTCATCTGTGAGTCTTGTAAGTCTCCCGGCCCCTGAGGTTCAGGGTGGGACGCAGCGCCATGCTGGGCAGACAGACAGACGGATTGAGAGGCGAGAGAGGTTAATGGTGGATCTAGTGATGAGGAGTTTGCAGTTCACTGTGAAGTGGTTTAACTTTTCTTCTTCATTTGCATCAAGCACGGTTGAACCGGTGGTGGAAACGTTGTGGGAGGCTGTGGGACAGTCCCGATGAGAGAATGCCACCGCCGCGCGCCCATGGTCTCTGTCATTCACATTGGATTCTTCCTGGTTCTTGTAAGACGGGGGGTTTTAGGTTTGTTCTGGACGTTCCCGTGTGTTGTGTTGAAACTCTGGATTTTATTTCGGGATGTCTTAGTGCCAGGTTCCCGCCCGCAGGGTTGACCCCCGTCTGGCTGGGAAGGTGGGAGGGTGGGTGTGACTCTTCCTCAGTGACCCCAGCTGTCACCCTCCCCGGTGGGGGCGCAAGGATGGAGGTGTTTGCTGATGGCAAGCGCGTGAGGCTGGAGAACAGATAGTTTATCTTTCTGTCTTGCACAGCTATGCCTTTCGCATTGTATGCTTAGAGAGAACAGCCTCGTGGTTAGACGTTTTCTGTCTGTGCCCAGTGGTCTTTCTGAGTTGCTGGCCTTCCTGGCTCCAAGCTGGGTGTGTATCAGGCAGAAGGAAAACCCGGGGTCCTGGCCAGTCCACCTCCTCTCTGTCGTTGGCCGAGGGGGTTCGGCTGCGTTTGTGATGGGATACGGACAGGTACTGTCTTCTTTTGAAACTGCAAGTCATGTCAACTTTCCTTTGTTTGGAATTGTGTATACTAAAGTTTGGGGGGAAAAGGTGATAAGCACCCGGCACAGGTTAAGGAAAGGAAAAACAAAACCACCCCCAAACAGACCTGATCAACCACTGCTGGGCATGAGTAAAAGGAAGCAGGAAAAGATCGGGACAGAACTCTGGGAAAGCCATACAGAGTCTTAAAGCATTCTCCAGCATCTGCAGCTTCTCTGCAGGCCCGGGGTTGGGGGCTGGGGGCTCAGGGGACGGGGCCTAGTGCTGGTCCAGTCTGGGGACGGGGGAGGGCGCTTCTTGGGGCACCGAAGCAGCGTGCAAAGGCTGCCTCCCCACAAGCACCATACTCAGAAACACTGACCTTTCTGGCCTCTCAAGCAAGTCTCTGTACAACCCATGTAAGGTTGTCAAATTTGGCAATGGGTCGCAGATATGGGACATACTTATATTGAATACTTACTCGTTGTTCATTTGAAATTCAGATTTGGCAGGTGTTT